GCGGGTCTCGAACCCGCGTTTTTCATCCAATCCACTCACCTCAGCCTCCCAAAGGCGCGGGATTACAGGCTGAGCCACCGAGCCCGGTTTAACAAATGTTTTTTAATGGAAAACGGTTTACTGTTGCTAATTAAACTGATTAACATTTTCTTTCTTGACAGGAGATTTTTTATGCATCTCTTTAGTGAATGGCTCTATTCAACTTCGCTACAACCTTGGTGACAGAACAATCACTCTAGAAACCCTCCAGAAAGTAGCTACTAATGGAAGCACTTGGCATATGGTCAAAGCAGGAAGATTTGGTGCAGGTTACCTGGATCTAGATGGGATACGCATGACAGAAAAAGCCTCTACTAAAATGAGTATTCTGGACACAAACACAGACTTCTACATTGGAGGAGTTTCATCCTTAAATCGTGTAAACCCCTCAGCAATAGCAAATGAACCTGTAGGTTTCCATGGTTGTGTCCAAGAAGTGATCATAAATAATCAGGAATTACAACTAACTGAATTAGGAGCAAAAGGTGGTTCAAATGTAGGCGACTGTGATGGGACTGCCTGTGGGTAAAACACGTGCAAAAACGGGGGAGAGTGCCGAGTAAATGGCTCCACTTTTTTCTGCAGCTGTTTGCCACATTGGGCTGGAAATACATGCAACCAGTCTGTGCACTGTGTAAACAGTCTTTGCCTCCACCAATCTCTGTGCATACCCGACCAGTCGTTGTCTTACAGTTGCCTGTGTGCTCTGGGTTGGGTGGGAAGGCACTGTGAAAACAAAACTTCATTTTCAACTGCAAAATTTGTGGGTAATTCTTACATTAAATACATTGACCCAAATTATAGAAGGAGAGACCTCCAATTCACTACGGTATCCTTAAATTTCAGTACTACTGAAACAGACAGCCTGATTATATGGATGGGAAAAGCTCAAAATGAAGACAATGATTTTCCAGCAATTGGCCTCCATAATCAGACCTTGAAAATAGCAGTTAACTTAGGAGAAAGAATTGCTGTGCCTATGAGCTACAGCAATGACACATTTTGCTGTAACAAATGGCACCATGTGGCTATAATTCAAAATCAGACTCTTATCAAGGCCTACGTAAATAACAGTCTAATTCTTTTTGAAGACATTGATCCAAACAGAAGGTTTACTGCTCTTAACTATGATGGAATTTGCTATCTAGGAGGCTTTGAATATGGTCGAAAGGTAAATACTGTTACTCAAGATATTTTTAAAAGAGATTTTGTTGGTAAAATCAAAGATGTAATTTTTTTCAGGATTCAAAAAAAATTAAATTAATTAAATCAGAAGGATACAATGTTTATGATGGAGATGAACAAAATTAGGTTACATTATTTAAAACTAGCAATTTTTTTTTTTTTTTGAGTTGGAGTCTCACTCTGTCGCCCAGACTGGAGTGCAGTGGCCGCTCCCGGCCACCGCAGCCTCGATCTGCTGGGCTCCGGCGATCCTTCCACCTCAGCCTTCCAAGTAGCCGGAATTACAGGCATGCGCTACCACGCCCGGCTGATTTTTTGATTTATTGTAGAGATGAGGTCTCGCTGCCCAGGCGGGTCTCGAACCCGCGGGCTCAGGCAATCCACTCACCTCAGCTTCCCAAAGGCGCGGGATTACAGGCTGAGCCACCGAGCCCGGCTTAAAACTAGCAATTTTACTACACTATATACACACACAAATCCATATTAGAAATGTTATTTTGATAGTTATTTCTTTGGTACATTGCTTATAAGGAGTCAACCATTTACTGTTACCTAATAGTTTAAATACTAACACATTGTTCTGAGAAGATTGTAAAATTTTTCTGAAGTAATGGTTGCTTTTCCAACTCTAATTTACCTGTATACGTGTTGTTTATATGTTTTAGCTTCATTAGTCATTCAATGTTTAGTTATCTGTAAAAGTCTTTTGGGTTTTTTTGAGTTGGAGTCTCACTCTGTCACCCAGGCTGGAGTGCAGTGGCACGCTCAAGGCCACCCCAATGTCAACCTACTGGGCTCTGGCAATCCTTCTGCCTCAGCCTTCCAAGTAGCTGGAACTACAGGCACACACTACCGTGCCTGGCTAATCGTTTTTTATTTATTGTAGAATTGAGGTCTCGCCAAGTTGTCCAGGCTGGTCTCGAACCCACAGGCTTAGGCAATCCAATCTCCTCGGCCTCCTGAAGTGCTGGGATTACAAGCTGAGCCACTAAACCCAGCCCATAAAAGTTTTTAAATAAAATGCATGTGGGAATAAATTAGTAATAGGTACAAATAGGAAAAAAACAAAAATTATTAACAAAAAAAGGTATATAAGAAAATGCAACCATACTATACTACATGGTACAGCCACAACTATTTAGAGGATTATAATAATGGAAAACTTGATATGGACTTAAACCAAAAATTATTGCATGAATAATTGCAATGAAAAGAACTGAAGGCAGTTGCCTCTGTAGAGTAGTGTAGGGGACTGTTGCTTTTTATTTATAAAACCTGTAGGCCAGGTGTGGTGGCTCAGGCCTATAATCCCAGCATTTTGGGAGGCTGAGGCAAGAGGATTGCTGGAGCCCAGGATTTGAGACCAGCCTGGGTAACATAGCAAGATCGCATCTCTACAAAAAATTAAAATTAAAAAATTAATTGAACATGGTAGCGCACTCTGTGGTCCCAGCATCTTGGGAGGCTGAGGTGGAAGCATCGCCTGAGGCCAGGAGGTTGAGGCGGCCATGAGCTGTGACTGTGCCACTGAACTCCTGCCTGGGTGGACAACAGTGAGACCCTGACTAAAAAATAACTTAAGATTTAAAAAATCCTGTAGAAGGACTTGACTTTTAGAAACCATGTATTTATATAACTGATCAAATTTTTAAAATAAATTTAATTTATGCTGAACTGCTTTCAAATCTACAGATCTCAAAACTAGGTATAAAACAGGTCCTGAACAATGCCATTGAAAACCGCTGTCTAAACAATACGTACTGTTGAAAGCACAGCTTGAGAAAGCGTACTTTTGCCCAAACATCAGTTACTGATATAATTGTGATAGCATTTTCACCTCCCACTCTCACTTCACCACTGCAAATTGGAAAGTAATTATTGCTGTTATTTGGCATTTTCAGAATTTGATATTTATGACAATTTTGCCAAGAAAGCAACTGACAACATGTGAATGACTCAGGGCACTAACAGGTAGAAGAGGTCATGTGGAGAAAAGTAATAAGCAGCATGTAAAGTTTAAAAAGAAAAATAATTATCCATCAAGTAAATGGAGAAAAGAATTTACAAAATGAGTTCTGACAGTTAGCTTCCTAATGCCTGTGTAGATTCCAGTCTATACAAAGGAACATGAAAATTTATCATCTTAAGGACATTAGATTGTTTTTTCGCTTATGTTAGCCACTCCAGTCCAATCTCAAAGCTACAGACATTTTTGAAAGGATCTAAGACCAAAGTTAAGAACGTTGGTACTATTTAATAGGGCACTACTGTTCCTGTTAACACCAGGAAGTGTGTATAAAGTTAGATTGCAAAATATCTACACATTGACCCAAAAGATTTAGTTTTTTAACAGAAATGACTCAAGAAAACTCCACCCAATTTTGCTGAAAAACTCTGACCTAAACTTGTTTTGGTGCATGCCACTGCTTTTAACTTTGGAGGTACTAAGATCATAAGAATAAACGCTCTAAAGAAATTGTTTTGGCAGCTGGTTATCAAATCTAAGAAAACATTTTATGTAAAAAGCCAGGGAAGCTGTTCTATGGACGATCATAAAATCTTCGAGCTGCCTAAACCGCATTCCATCCTATTAGGCTACAAGTTCTCCAATGATAGTACACCTTTTCTTTAAAGCAACACTTCCCAAAGTGTGGTCCAAGGAACCCCTGAGGATCCCTGAGCTCTTTTCAGGGGATCCAGAGTCCTCCCTTTTCCAACAACAAATCCATGTGAAGTCAAGATGTTCCTCACATATTTCAAACAAAATGATATGCTACAAAACCCTGAATGCAGTGTCTTAAGTCGGACATTAGATATATGCAAACATAAAGACAATGACACTCTTCTTGCTAGTTTGGGAGTTCTCACACAAACCATCTATTAACACCTATCACAAAAATATATGTTACATTAACAGATATTATTCAAGTTTATCATTTTAATTTCTAATATGTTAAATAATGATACAACCCATATAAACAAAACCTCTTTGGCTTCTTCCATTTTTTGAGTGTAAGGAGTCTTGAAATCTGGCTTGAGAATTGCTGCTTTAAAGCTTCTTTCCACAGTTGCAATTTTACAATTTCACCTTCAGATATTACCACCTGTCTTCTACTTGCACGCTCCACAAAACTGGAACCGCCTCGAGTTCTCACCATTGAATTCCAAGAGCTGAGCAAATGCAGAAAATTGTACCTGCAGACCAGGCACACAATTAAGAACTGAAAGCTCCTCCTTGAGAGCCTCCTGTAAGTCAAAATGACTTCACATTTTTTCACCTTAAATCCCTGCAAATTTCATGTACCCAATTAACATTATTCCTGCTATCCTAGTGAGTTCCTATGTGATATGCTTTTCTAGAACAGAATAAAAATGATACAGAAAGACCCTTAAGATAATTTTACTATAAAGGTTACAATGCTTCTGAAACAAAGTGTTGAACGTAAGACTCGTTTTAGAAAATAGGTTCCTGAAAAAAAAAATAACTACTTTGTGAAAAAAATAAAAAGTTAAAAGACAGTTTGGACTGTTATATACATACATATTATTTCATTTAAAAAGTAAAGGTGAGCCAGGCTCGGTGTCTCAGCCTGTAATCCCGCCCCTTTGGGAGGCTGAGGTGAGTGGATTGCCTGAGCCCGCGGGTTCGAGACCCGCCTGGGCAGGCGAGACCTCATCTCTACAATAAATCAAAAAATTAGCCGGGTGTGGTAGCGCGCACCTATAGTTCCAACTACTTGGAAGGCTGAGGTGGAAGGATCGCCGGAGCCCAGCAGGTCGAGGCTGCAGTGGTTGGGAGCGTCCACTGCACTCCAGTCTGGGCGACAGAGTGAGACTCCAACTCAAAAAACAAACAAACAAACAAAAAAACATAAAGGTGTTGGGGATATCTGGAATTATATTGGGTCCACTACCCTTAGGCTGGGTTTTCCCTGATTATTCTGCATCTATTTATGAAATGAAATTTACAGAATAAACTCACGTTTTCCAAACACTTCTAGCTATTGGTATTTTTCAACTTGCCCCACTACCTTCTTGCTCTACCTATGAATTACTGTAACTCCTTATGAAATAAAAATCAAAGAATCAAAGTGTTTGCCACCCTTTTAAAAGCAGTAGCCAATTTTATTCACAATTTGCTTTGAGACACAGCTCAAATGCCGATTACACATCTAGTTCTTTGTAGTAGAAAGTGGTAGCCTGGCCACTGTTTCGGAGGGATCTGAGATTAATATAATACACTTAGTACACCAAAACATTAAAGATAAATAACTATTTTGCTAAGATCTGGTTCATTATCAAGCTCTCATAATGCTTTTCAAGTTGACTTATGTACTTCTTTAAAAACACAGCTAATATTAAACATAGGAGGCCAGGGCAGGCATGGTGGCTCACGACTGTAAATCCAGCACTTTGGGAGATGAAGGCAAGAAGACTGCCTGAGCCCAGGGTGTCAAGACCAGCTTGGGAATCTTGGCAAGACTTCATCTCTACAATAAATCAAAAAATCAGCTGGGCACAGTAGAGCCTATAGTCCCAGGTACTTGGAAGGCTGAGGTGGAAGGATCACCTGAGCCCAGCAGGTTGAGGCTTGTGGTTGCCGTGAGCATGCCACTCTAGCCTGGGCAAAAGAGACTACAACTCAAAAATAAAAGAAAAACTGAGAGACGAGACGCAGTGGATCATGCCTGTAATCCTGGTGCTTTGGGAGGCTGAGGCAGATTATTTGAGGTCAGGAGTTCAAGTCCAGACAGAGCAACATCGCTCTACCTAACCCTATCTTTACAGAAAATATGAAAACTAGCCAGGCATGGTGGCAAGCACCTGTAACCCCAGCTACTAGGGAAGCTGAGGCAGAATGATTACTTGAGCCCAGAAGTTCAAGGTTGCAGTGCGTTATAATCATACCACTGCACTCCAGCCTGGTGGGGAGACCCTCTAATTTTAAAAAACAAAACAAACACTTAGGGACAACTGAATGTAAACTTGTAGCTTTTCATGTTAACACACACACATAAACACACATATTAACACCGAAGGGGCTTAACTTACCACCTTATTTTCTTCTGTATTTTTGGTATTATTTCTCATAAATTTCTTAACATCTTTACCATGGCCTTAGATATTCTATAATTTTTAAAATTTAAGTTTGTCTATACTAAGCTACTAGTAAGTCAACTGTTGTGGTATATGAAATGGCCCCCAAAAGGTGTCTACATCCTAATACCTGAAACACCTATAAACATGTTAGGAGACCTGGCAAAGGGGAATTGAATTAAGATCACAGATGAGATTTAGGTTGCTAATCAGCTGACCTTAACAGGATTACCCTGTATTATCTGGGTGAGACCCATGTAATTACAAAGATCCTTGAAGTGGAAGAGGGAAAGGAGGGAAGAGATGGTAACAACTGCCAGAAGGGCCTCACACTGCTAAAAGTATGGAGGAAGGGACCAGGTGCCAAGGAAAGTGGGTGACCTCTGGAAGCTAAAAACTAAGGCAGAGAAGTGGATTTTCCCCAAAGCCTCCAGAAAAAGGATGCATCCTGCTGACACCACGATATCACTTGAGTTCTGCATCAGATTTCTGATCCACAGAACCTAAGATCACAATTTGAGTGATTTTAAGTTGCTAGGTTTGTCGTAATTTACTACAGCAGAAATAGAAAACAAAAGACTCGAAAAGTTAGCATTTGTGATTAACATACTTTGCAAACCTGTACAAGAGAATGCACAGGTTTCTGGGCATGTCTTCTTGCTCACTTTGAGGACCCAAGTTGCTCAGTTAAGGGTTTCAGACAGGTTAAGAATGGAGAGAGGACCAGGAAAGGTGTAACATCAGGCTTTTGCTCCTCTCCCTCACTGCACAACTGTCAAGCACATGGACTTTGAAGACACGTAGACCTAACCAGGATTCCAGCTCTGACAAGAGCAGTCTAACCTGGGCAAGATTTACGCCTCCACCTTCGAGCTGACCCACGTGTAGATACAGTGCTCGAAGAAAGGGTTGGCCTGCAGAAGGCCCATCGTGGCTCTCTTGACGTCACAAGGAATGTAGGGATGACCTTCACAGGGACTGAGACACCTTGGGACACTTTACTTAATAGGGGTATGTACAAGCCATCTTAAGATGGTTCAAATTTTTTAAAGCATCAAGTTTTTTTAAAGAGCAAGTTCTCCATAAAACAGGTGAAAGTGAAAGATGACATTCCTGTAATTCACTAGCTCATGTTAAGGCTGGTTGTAGCCGGGACTGAGTGTGGCCCTGGATCTACTACTCATTGGAAACTTTACTATTTCTTTTTTTCTCTAAAGGAAAACCTCAAATAGTTAATACGGCCATACTTACCCTACTCTACTCAGTATTTCATTCAATCCAGGGTTGAAAGACACGGTTCCAATATCTAGTAGACCTGTAACCCCAGGAGATGGTCATCACTAACAGGAGGTACATGGGCCCTGTTGCTCTTAAAAATATGTGAGGATTCAGAGATATGAAGAAAGAAGTTTAGAGTACACATCACAAAAATATGAAACTGTTAGCTAAGAGGTGATCAAAATCTGTCTTGGAGGCTTTCTTTCATTTGTTAACCCATTCTTATTTGTCCCTTGCAAAATAAATCTGATGTTTGATCAACCCCTCAATCAGATAAATCCATAAAAACACGTTCATTGACAATATACACACTTGAAATTTTTTTTTTTTGAGTTGGAGTCTCATTTTGTCACCCAGACTGGAGTGCAGTGGCTGCTCCAGGCCACCGCAGCGTCGACCTGCTGGGCTCTGGCGATCCTTCCACCTCAGCCTTCCAAGTAGCCGGAATTACAGGCATGTGCTACCACGCCCGGCTGATTTTTTGATTTATTGTAGAGATGAGGTCTTGCCGCCCAGGCAGGTCTCGAACCCACGGGCTCAGGCAATCCACTCACCTCAGCCTCCCAAAGGCGCGGGATTACAGGCTGAGCCACTGAGCTTGCACACTTGAAATTTTAAGACTAACTTTTTTTTTTTAATTTGCAAAACCTTGAGAGCAACTTCTTTGTAATGGTGCAAATGACAACCGACTGACCTTAGGGGTTTTGTTTGGGGACTAACTTTGTTTTCTAACAAGTACACTTCCAAAAAAAAAGTAGACCAAAGTTAAACAGGCTTTATTTAAATACAAGTCCTCTGTTTCAGAACTTTTATGATAAATTTCAAAGGATAAGGATTGGGAAAAGTGCTGTAAGTCACTGAAAATTAGACAAAATGTTTGATTCTGAATTTTCTCCTTTCTCTCCAACAACAAAAAGGCTAATTCAGTTCCAAAAACAATTTTTAACTCTAATCTTTAGGCTATTTAGGAAAACAATCTTAATTTTGTGGAATTATTTGTATATTTTTCTTCATTAATACAGGTAAGTAAATATACTGGTTTCTCTCTCTTTTTGGACTCAAGTATCACATCAGTTGGTAGCTACTGTTTTAAATTACAGCCACCAATACAGTATGCACTTTAGGGTGTAAATAAGTTTAAGTTTGATTTAACAATAGCCTCCCTTTGTATGCTTTCTTTTCAAATAAAACTGGTATGAAGCGATACAGTTCCCCTACAAACTAGGTTAAATCACAAAATTTAGAAAAAGATTCGAAAATGTTTCTCTTAAATAAAAGTTCTGTGGTCTTACAGTAATTACTGAGTCAGTATATCCAATAGTGATGGTGTACAAGTTTTCAGAAACGTAACAATAGAGTCAGCTATAGTTGCACCGTGTTTCACTGGTAGTTCTAAATTCTAGCCTCTTCAGAATTTCACAATTCATCTCAGCCTTTAATCTTAGATTTTAAGAAACTGTTTTCCCCCCTCATCTAATGCCTGACATGGACAGCTACGTCTGTATGTTTCTGGCTAAGAGAAAAGCAATGTCTGAAGGTAATTAAAGCTTTATAAAAGAAATTATTTTACTACTGAATTTCAAATCACACACACAAAATAGGTGAGAAATTCTTTTATCATATTTAGAATCAAAATATCCCTTAAAATATTTACATTTTACAGTAAAAAGGATAGCAAAACACAAGATCATGTACAAGCTTAAGTATTCAAGTTTCTGAAGAGCCAAAAATGAAATGAAAATAATGGTCTACCACAAAGCTGTCGTATATGGTAATAAATGACTTCAATGAGTGCAGATTAAAGCAGTAAATGTACCCCTTGGGACTCTGATTCTTGGTCAAAAACTGTTCAAGAAATGATTAGCACAATCTGATTATGACGTTGTTTGGATTTTTGTTGCTCCTCTACAATTTCTTTAAAAACAGTGCAATTTAAAATAAACTTACAGAGCACACATTACTCTCAAATTAGTCATTATATAAAGGACATTCACTAGAGGCAGTAAATATATTCCATAGTTAATCATATTTGCCAATTAAAGAATAAAACTAAAATTTCTAAGCCTTTATTGCATATTAATAAAACAAGTATTTGAATATACAGCAATGTAAAACTTTTAAAAATATGAAATTCCTATTACTAGGGACAGTTGGTATGAAGGGGCGATGAGCACTGGGGCAGAGCACTCTGCACCAACACACGGGGCTTACTGTTCTGCAAATGACCAAGAGTAAAAATGTAGAAGATGGCACGATCCTAGCAGGCAATCTTAGAAAGTCTTTAGGATACTAAAGCTATGTCAGTGTCATCGTGAGGCAGCCTGCAGATTTACCTCTTGCTTTTGGTTCTGTCAGTGTGGTCCCTATCCTTGTGGTACCTGTCCCTGTCCTTCTCTCCTTCTCTGTGTTTGCTCTTCTCCCGTTCTTTGTCCTTTTCATAGTCTTCGCTCTTAGGTTTGTCTGGCTTCTTGTCTACATTCCTGCCATCTCTGCTTGCTTTTCCATCTGTTCCTCGATCACCATGTGACAACCGTGCCCTGTCTTTATCTTTGTGCCCCTCCTCCCTGCTTTTTCTGTCTCTGTCCTTGTCTTGGCTTCTGTCTCTGCGTCTATGCCTTTCCGATTCTTGTTCCCATTCCTTTTCGTGCCGTTCTCTTTTCAGGTGGTGTGAATCACTATAAAACCTCTGGCGGTCCCCTTTGCCCCTGTTAAACGGCCTATCCAGTTGCTGCTGGTCTTGCCTCCCCCAAGGGTCACTATGGCGCCTTTCTGGTCTCCGAACGTCTTTAACCTGGTAAAAATTCTGTGGGCCTATGTACCGGGACACTTGTGACAGAGGACCCATCATGCGCTGCGGCTGGCCTGGGAGATGAACCACAGGTGGCCAAGGAACCATGGGGTTTTGAGCAAAGCCAAAGCCTGGAGGGGGGAGTAATGGAGGTGGCAAATGTGGTGGAAATCCAAACATGCTTTGTGGGGGGAAGTTAGGAGGCCCTGGAAACGGGAATCCAGGAGAGCTCGACTTGAGGTGCTGAAGGCTGGGCTGCTGTGGCCGCATAGGCGAGAAGTTCGCACTTGCTCTGGGGCTGGTGCTTCTGGAAGTGAAGTTGATGCTTTTAGAAGGAAACTCTGACTGGCATGTGTTTCCAGCTTCAAAATGAGGTGTTGTTGCTGCAGGTCCTCTTCGGAATGGGTGCACAGTTTCAATATTTTGCATTAAAACATCATCCTGTAAGGGCTTTGCTTGTTCTGTCTGAGACGCATGCATGTTTTCTCCAGATGGTGAGTTCTGTGCAGCTTTGGAATTCTCATTCTGCTGGACGCACGAGTTTTTCTCTCCAGAAGGCAACTTCTCCTCTGCACCGGCTTGCTCTGTCAAGTGCTCCTTGCTGTATGTGGTGCCAGGCGGCGTGGGTTTCTCTCCATTCCGGCAGCCGTCTCCATCTCTGCTTTCTGCGGTGGAAGCCTGCTGACTGCGTCCTGCTGCCTGCCTGGGGTCCCTCTTGAGGTTGATGAACTGTGGAGACCTCGTCGTATTGGCAGCAGGGTTTTCACTGCAGCCCACACTACCATCTGTGCTTCCTTTTCCTACATTAGATTTGCAGGGAGAACTAGTACTTGAAGTCTGACTATCTTGCAAGCTGCTCTCTGCATCTTGCAGCAACTGTCTTTTCAATGCTTTCTCTTTACTCTCCACAGCTTCCTCTTGTTTTGACTGAATTGATAAGTTTGTCAAGAATGCTTCTGTAGAAACATCTGGTGGTTTACCTCTGAGACTAAGACTTGTCAAAGGCCCTGGGGAGATGGAAGAGGACCCGGCCACTGACACATCTTCTCCTATTACTCCTGAACTGCCTGTAGATTCCAAGAGATGATCTACTTTAACTCTTACCTCCTTGACTTCACTGTCAGCAATTTCTACTTTCTCTGCTTTTGAGCTGGTTTGCTCATTTAAAAATGGAATTTCTTTAAGGGTGTTTTGTTCAGTCACTGACTGAGCCTGGTCATACACTTGCCCAGTGGTACCCAGAAGGCTCTGAAGTATGTCATCCACAGGAAGAGGCTTATTTGCTAATTCCATAGTAGAAGGTTGGTTTTCCCAGCCAATCAACACGCCAGGAAGAAATCGTAAAGGCTTTGGCGGCTCCTGCTTGGTGACTTCCATCAAAGGTTCAATTGCTGTTGGAAGGTCTTCCTGAAGGGTTGGCTGAGGCTTGTTTCTCTGCTTGTGTAATACGGTTGTAAAAGAGTTAAAGAAGTCATTTTCTTCCTCTGGGGTTTCCTCAGCAGAAGCATCTATTTTGCTTTTTTTATCAGGTGGCGGTGGTATGGGCACGCCATCAGGAGCCTCAGCTACATGGCTGGTTCCAGCACTAGCACTATGCAGCCGCTTCAGCTTCTGACGAATAATTAAACCCAACAGCAGATTAGGTCTATGCAGTTCAAGTCCTGTACAAAACCAAAAACAACAAGGAGTAGTCACTTTCAGTCCTTACGAAAAATGGGAAAGTGTTGCACGTAGCTTACTGCAGGCTGTTAAACAGTGGCAGCCGAGAAGCCATTTCAAGAGGGCAGGGTACCAAGAAGAAAGTAGAGTGGGGCTTTTCCCTCCTGCCCACCTCCCACGTTATTTCCACCTCACCCTACTATCAAAACGTGTACCTACCAGGTCCGTCAAAAGGCACCAGAGGGTGTGGAATCTTATCTGTGGCACCCAGAGGAATGAGGTACATGTCTTTCACCTGCTTCATGTTGTTAGCTGCTACTCCATAGCGCTTTCTGCTACTGAAGTAGGCAAACAGCAAAGTATACGAAATCTGATCTTCCTCAGTCACTGGAGTGAAGCGAACCACACAAATTTCCTATTCAAGAAAACAACAACTGGTTGCTTCAAACAGTAACCTGAAGAACAGTTTGGTTTTAAATACTATTTCTCAATTATTAATAATCTATTGAATTTTATAATGATGGCTACCAAGTAACATGATTTACCAACTTAAATACAGATGAGAATGCTGAAAGGAAATAACTCTTAAGTTCCCTGAGGGATGTGTTTTATCTGATAGCTTTTCATAAGAAATGGAGTTCTGAGGTGATTAATTAACTTCTTCAAGGTAATACAACTTGTCAGTGACAGAGATGATACTGAAATCCAAGTCTGTTGGCAGCTACACTCTTTTCTGGTTTCCAATGCTACCCCCTCCACAGAGGGCTGCCTCTGTTTCTGGCCTATTTCAAGTGCTCAACACCACCCTATCACAAATCCACTGATCATCCCGTATACAGAAACTGAACTTAGGAATAAAGAGGACTGGATGAAGAGAGCTGAAATACACAGACCATAAATTTTGCAAAGTAATTTGGTTCATTCAGGAAATGTCTTGTCTGCCTCTGGGTTCTTGACTTTGTTTCAGATAGAAAAGAAAGTCTTGTTATTAATTTCATAGTGTTAGGACATGGACATTTTCCAGGAAGGTGGATAGTCACAAGAAAGCAAAATCTGTAACAAACTTGGAACTGACACGAGCTCCCAAAGAAAACATGTGAATGAGCTGAACTACGACTCCTCTTATGTCTGTCATCCTAGTTGCCCTCTTTTAGATTAAAAACCACCATATATATAATATATACACACACACAAAAATATATATATATTACTAACTACTATTACAGTGTTAAAATCAGTTCAAGTTAGAAGCTTACTATAAAGTGCTGGGCAGCAATATATGGATGAATTCAAAAGTGAACCTCAAAATGCCCAAGAATAGTATTTCCCATTTTCTTGTTTGTTTGTTTTTTTGAGTTCGGGTCTCTCTGTGTCACCCAGGCTGGAGTGTAGTGGCACGATCATGGCTCACTGCAACCTTGACCTATAAGGCTCAGGCAATTCTTCTGTGTACATAGCTAATTTTTTTATTTTTTGTAGAGACGAGGTCTTGCTGTGTTGCCCAGGATGGTCTTGAACTCCTGGACTCAAGTGATCCTCTCGTCTTAGCCTTCCAAAGTGCTGGGATTACAGGCATGACCCACTATGCCCAGCTCCCATTTTCATTACCATGAGAGAGTGACAGCAGATAAATGCAGTAACTTTTTATAGTGCTTCAAAGTTTATTTGTATTCTAACACTGTATGAATTTAAATTCTAAAATCTATATTGGAACAAAATATTATTTTGAGCTTAAGATCATCTACTTTGAATCAAAGAAACCAAAGAAAAATTAGAACTTCTGGAAAAAGAGGCAAAAAGGTAACATTTACTTATTCAAGATTTAGTTATTGAATGTCTATAATATGCCAGGTACTGACAGATCCCTTGGAAGGAAAAAAAATTTCTTCTGGAGATTAAGTTTTCCTCTGTGGTATTAAAAAATGGTAAAAATATATAAAGAAAAAGGTGACAGAGAAATATTATTGTAATGGAGGCTACTAATTATTTCCCCATACCTCTTCTTCTCCTTCCTCCCTATTACTAATAAAAGCTATTAACTTTTAGCTGGGCACATGGCCAATGAAAGCTGATGACTGCAATTTCTAGCTAGCACTTGCTTTTAAAACAACTAGACATTCATTTCTCATTTATTCCCACTTGATGTTGATGAGTCAACTTTGATCATCTTTGACTGATGAGGGCAACATTGTTGGAAACAGCAAAATAACAAGAGGGAGCCTTGTCTCTAAATTAGTCTATAGACCCAGAGCCACAAAAAATAACTTCTGTATTCTTTGAGCCACTGTATTTTAGAGTCCCTTTCTTGCAACAAGTTAGCTGTGCCCTAACTCAAACAGATGTCTGTAACAGAAGAAAGGCAAGACTCCAGGATGAATCTCAATGCTTACTCTAAAACATTTCTTTCAAAACACTGATAGAAGCTACAAGGAAAGCATTCCAAAGAGGGGGGAAGAAAGGAATGCTGGACTATTTTAAGCCTTAGCAAATGGACTTAGTTCAGTTTTATGAGGTATATTACGTAGATTTAGAATATGTACTGACTGCTCCCTTCCCCAGAAGGCCTCACATTCTTGCGTAAGAACTGAGTGGTTTACGTCCCAAACATTTCCCCATGCTAGTATAGTAAAACAAGTTTTCCTCACCTTGGTTCCAGATGCTTTTATTTTTTCCACATAATCCCAAACTGTCTGAGGTGATATCCTGCCACCTACTTGAATACTATCTGGTAGATCCTGTGGCAAAAAATTAAAATGATCAATATGTACAGAGTATCTTTATTACAGTATTCATAATTCATACAAATTTAGCTCTAAGACTAATTTTAAGTAGTTATAAAAACAAGTAAATAAAAAGATTGTTTTAAAAACTGCATCAGAAAACAAAATATCATACAGAGACAGCGGTTACGCTTTACCTGAAATGCCAAATGCAAATAACTGAAGCCCAAGATACAGTGACTAAGAAGGAGTCTGAGTTCATGCCTGGTCTCAGGAAAAAGACAGGCAGAAAGGGAGGCAGAGTCAGCCCACCACACAGGCCAAGAAGAACACAACACGCTTCAGAGGAGTAGGAGGGATTGTTCCAACCAGCCACCCCTTTTTGGAGGTAGTAGGCAGGAGCATTTGTTCATCACTGGATTTCAGAAGTTACCAAACTGAATTTAATGATACAGTATATATTTGCACAAAGGAGATATAACCTTGTAATAATGCAATGTATATTTTTAAAAAAAGATACAATCTTTCTGAAAACAAATGACTATATATAAAATCAATTAAGAACATTTCAGCTTTGGGAGACTGAAGTGAGAGGATCATTTGAACTCACGAGTTCGTGATCAGCCTGGGCAACACAGTGAAACCTCATCTTTTAAAAAATTAAAAAACAATAAAAAAATTAGCCAGGCATGGTTGCACACTTCTATAGTTCTAGCTACTCAGGATCCTGAAGAGGCAGGATCACTTGAGGCCTGGAGTTCAAGGCCATAGTCATGACTGCACCAATGCACTCCAAGCTGGGCAAGAGAACAAGACCCTATTTAAAAAAACAATAGTAATGACAATTTAAAACAAAACTTTATTCAGAATATTCCTATTTTTTCCATGAAGACTGAGAAAAATCATAAAAAACATAATGAATTCATACTAAGTTCAATTTAGTTAATTTAAATTACTAATTACTTTAAATATTAAAATCCTAAGTGGAGGGCAGAGTTGGAATTCTGAAAAACCACCACAATGAAACTCTGGCTCAGAAAGGAAAATAATAATTTTATTTAAAATCAAAAGGATTTCATAATTAAAGACTCAACTCTCCATCTAAAAGAAGAATTATCTTCAGCATGGACTGATCAAAGACAATTTCTAAACAGATTTGTTCAAAAAGAATATCACAGAGCCACTTAATTTTTCCCTTATAAAATTCAGATTTTTTAAATATTAGGCTGGGTGCAGTGGCTCATGTTTGTAATCCCAGCACTTTAGGAGGTGGAGGCAAGAGGACTGCCTGATCCCAGAGGTGTAAGACTAGCCTCGGCAACTTGGTAAGACTTCATCTTTATAATAAAACAAGAATTAGCCGAGCGCGGTAGTGCCCAGAAATCTGAGGCAGTGGGATTATCTGAGCCCCAGCAGGTCGTGGCTATGGTAGCTGTGAGCACGCCACTGCACCTCAGCCTGGGTAACAGACAGAGTAAGACTCACAACAACAAAAAAATTACACACACACACACAATTTATTAAGCAAAGTATATATAATATTAATAATTAGGTTGCCTGTTAATCAAAAACATAACTGCTAAACAAACTGGTCAACATTAGATGAGCAAGAATATACTGAATTAAACCAATTTCAGCCAAATCCAAAGGAAAGTGAAGTCTGTGTTAGCTGTAACGAGAACAGGCATATGATTTGGACTTTCTGAAGTACCAAAATATCCTTTGTCTTTACAGTCAGCAGATTGAGAATGAGTGAGAGGCTAATGTTAGATATGAACAAAACAGCAAAGGATGATCAACAAGTGTACATGTGTGTAGGATTATTTTCCTTCTATGCACACACAAATACATTTCCTTCCAAATAGCTCAGAAAGTGTCATTTCTCATTAATCATGACGTTATAATGCTGCTTCTGCTTATTTTCCACCCTTAACAGTGTCCTCCTATTCCCACAGGTATAAAACCCACCAGAGGCATCACCTGCAGCATCCAAGGCCACTGGTCTCGCTATTCAACCAGCTGTGAAGCTTCAACTCCTGCCTTCACAGAAATAGATAGGTAAGGCTCTAAAATCTAAAGACCCATCTGTGAATTCACGTTTTATTAACCAAACTGCTCAAGATAACTGTTACTTACTATTTTCATGGTTAACTGTATATGATTTCTCTGCCTACTGCCTTCAGAAACACACTACCAACCCAGGCCCAGAGGGCAGGAGAGTTCACAGTACCTCTGTCAAGTACTCAGGGGAGCCAGACACTGGGTAGGCTTTGGTGACAAATTTTGCAACAGAAGGCATGTTGATGAAACCTTTCCAGATGAAGTTCAAGCGCGCCAGGAAGGTGGGTTCCACCTCAACGGCTCCAGGCATCTCGGGACTAGAAGACGACATTGACATGGAAGATGTGCTCGTGAGCAATCCATTTCCTACTCAGTCATCAGTTACTGCTAGGGAATTCACCGTGTCAAGAAGGCCAAGGCATGTGAGGCCACAGGTAAACGGTTTATGCTTTCACTTTATAAAATGTCATTCACAGTTACATAGTAAAGTGCTACAAAGCCCTCCCTCCTCTGCTGGTGTAGGGAGACTAAGGTCCGCAGAAGTGCAAGCAATTTTCATTTAATAATCTATCCTCTGCCTTTTGGGACCAGCATAATAAGAGAGAGTTAAAGTTGTTTCCCCGCACACTCAAATCTCTCACTCTAACCACTCCAATAAATTAACTTTCAATGTCTTGTTCTTTTATCTCAATTAGATTAGGATAAAGGAAGGTAGTTTTTTTTTTTTAAAAGAAAGGCTCTTAAGAAATACATCACTTTTCTGATTTTGAAGACTTCCAAATATAGTCTGGTAAAGATCTATAATGATTACTAGAGAAATTAGAGAAAAAAATTACCGGGGGGTCGGAGAAAATGTGGAATTTGGAGACTCTTGTTTCTCCTCTTCAAAGAACTCAGAAGTCAAAATACTTGAGGTGGAAGACAAAGCATCCGCTATACTTTCCGCTTCGTTGTCCGAATGTTTACGGGCTACTCCAACAACAACTTTCACTTTTTTTGGAGAAAGATCATCTACTGGTGGTGCCATTCGACCTAAACTCAGAAGACACAAAAGTAAACCAACTGTTGTTAACTGCAATTTTTATAACCTGACTTATTTTCACTTTCTAAGGTTTTTATACTATTTCCATGATTCGATTATTGAATAACCATGTTTTCTGGGGTAATGTCTAACTATCACCATTCTCATAATGAGCTCTATTCCAACAATATTTAAGAATTAACAAGAGCCGGGCTCGGTGGCTCAGCCTGTAATCCCGCACCTTTGGGAGGCTGAGGTGAGTGGATTGCCTGAGCCCACAGGTTCGAGAACCGTCTGGGCAACCTGGCGAGACCTCATCTCTACAATAAATCAAAAATTAGCCGGGCATGGTAGCGCGCACTTGTAGTTCCAGCTGCTTGGAAGGCTGAGGCAAAAGGACTGTCGGAGCCCAGCAGGTTGAGGCTGCAGTGGCCGGGAGAGGCCACTGCACTCCAGTCTGGGTGACAGAGTGAGACTCCAACTCAAAAAAAAAAAAAGAATTAACAGGGAAGCCAGGCTCGGTGGCTCATCCTATAATCCCACGCCTTTGGGAGGCTGAGGTGAGCGGACTGCCTGAGACCACAGTTTGTGACCCGCCTGGGCAGCGAGACCTCATCTCTACAATAAATCAAAAAAATCAGCCAGGTGTGGTAGCGCACGCCTGTAGTTCCAGTTACTTGGAAGGCTGAGGCGGAATGATTGCCGGAGCCCAGCAGGTCGAGGCTGCGGTGGCCGGGAGCGGCCACTGCACTCCAGTCTGGGTGACAGAGTGAGACTCCAACTCAAAAAAAAAAAAAGAATTAACAGGGAATTTGCCAGTGTCCTCCCTATTGCCAGCCCTCTTCTATGTGCAGGGACCTGAGCTCATCTAAAATGCTACTCACAGCATACTGCATAGAGTCCTACCTATAATATACTCACTTGCCCTTTAAAATCATTTTATAAATATCATCTCCCAAATGTAAAATATCCCATGAGTAAATATGGGCTAGATAATATAATAACTCTCTTAGTAATGTGAAAAATTAGGAAAAGAGGATGTTAAACAACTCAGACAAGCTAAAATGAAAACGTTGTAACTAGAACCTAAAATAGATTTCTTGTTTCTCTGACAAATTTTTTTTCTACATCAAATTCCAACAGTATTGAGAAGTAACTTGAAGAAATGAGTAAAACAATTCTGTATGCACCTTTGGGTCATATGGCAACAGTTCATGACTACACCTGCACAGTGCAGTGGTACTTTGTTACTAAAACATGAAAGACATTAATAAAGTTTAGAATTTGACATTGGTTTTAGACTCAATCAAACTTTTATAAAAAACAGTCACGTCTAACAGTATTTAACAAATTTGTATATTAGTGTATGTGCGTGTATATGCATATTTTGTTGTACATAAATAGCTGGGAACTAAAGTTTCATAAAATCATAGTTACCTCACTATGCAATTCATATGTTATCTTCTACTGTCTGTTTTTATTTTGAAATACTGGTCACTACTTATTAAACTGACTTCACTATCACTTGAGTCACAATCTGAAGTTGAAAAGCGATGGCTATAAAGACACTTCAAAGTGTGATTTCTGAGTTATCTCCAACCAAACCACAGGCCTCACTGCGCTCTTCCCGAATTCAAACTCATGTCATTTCCAGCATCTCAAGTGATCTCTCACTACTCTCTTCGCCAACACACATCTCACCCTTCGTGTCCCATCTTAAGTGGCAAGCCCCTAGCCATGCCATCATCCCCTGGCTAGGCTGGGTCTTCTTGCTAAACACACTTCTAACATCTGTACCTCTGTAACTTCAGTAATCACTTGCTTGCCTTTGCCACTTAACTATGCTTCTCTTCAAGCCTAGATAGCATCACCACCCTGTACCCAACAAAGTGCCTGACAAGAAGAGCTTCATATTTATTGAATGAATAACTAAAATAAGAATAGGAAAGAAAAAGGTAACTATCAAGCAAAAGACCCAGAATAACCAACCTAATACTGTGGGAGAAGAATAAAGTCAAAGAACTGACACTAACCAACTTTAAGACAAAGAGGTAGTACAATCAAGAAACTTTGGCATAAGCAAAAAAACAGACAAGTAAATTAATGAAAGAGAGAGCCCCAAAATAGACTGACATAAATATAGTTAACTGATCTCTGACAATAGATCAAAAACAGTCTTTTCAACAAAGCTTGCTGTAAAAACTAGACACCCACAGGCAAAAAAAAAAAAAAAAAAAAATCTAGCCACAATCTTTCATCCTTCACAAAAATTAACTCAAAATGGATCAGAGGCCTAAATGTAAAATGCAGATGATTAACATAGGACAGAACCTAGACCTAGGGTACAGCAACTTTTTAGCTACAATATCAAAGGCATAATCCATGAAAGAAAGAACTGATAAGCTAGACTCCATTAAAATTTAAAATGTCTGTTCTGCAAAAGACAATGTCAAGAGAGTAAGAATATAAGCCACAGAGTGGGAGAAAATGTTTTCCAAAGACTTATCTGATAAATGACTGCTATCCAAAATATAAGGATTCATAAGTTCAACAACAAGAAAACAAACAACCCAAGTAAAAAATGGGCTAAAGACCTGACAAAACACCTCATCGAAGATGTCATACAGATGGCAAATAAGCATGTGAAAAAATGTTCCACATATGTCATCAGGAAGATGCACAGCAAAACAGGACAGTCTTTTTGGTGAGAACCATCAACACCTATTTTAAAATAGCCAAAATCCAAAACACTGACACCACCAGTGCTGGCGAGGATGTGGAGCAACAGGTACTCTCATTCATTGCTGGTAGGAATACAAAATGGCACAGCCACTTTGGAAGGCAGTTTAGCAATTTCTTAAAAAATACACATTTATATCCACACAAAAACCTGCATACAGATTTTTATAGCAGTTTTATTCTAGTATGTCAGAACAAGATATCCCCTCCAGTAAGTGAATGGGTATATAAGCTGTACAGCCAGGCAATGGACTATATCACTCAAGGCTAAAAGAAAATACGCTATCAAGTCAGAAAAAGACTTAAACGAACCTAAAACATACATTCCTGAGTGAAAGAAGCCAATCTGAAAATGCCACATACTAGATGATCCCAACTACATGACATTCTGGAAAAGACAAAACTATAGAGACAGTAAAAAGACCAGTGGTTGCCACAAGGGCTGGCTTGCATGGGGGGGAGCAGGGTGGAATGAACAGACAGACACAGAGAATTTTAGGGCAGTGAAAATACTCTGTACAACACTCTAACATTTAATTCATGTCATTAAACATTTGTCCAAACCCACCGAATGTACAACACTAACGGAAACTATGGACTTCGGGTGACTATTTTCCAATGTAGGCTCAGTAGTTTGAACACCTGTCCTGCTCTGTGGGGGATGCTGATAACCGGGACACTGCCCACTGGAGGCGAGGGTGCATGGGGAATCTGTACCTTCCTCTCAATTTTGCGGTGAACTTAAAATTGCTCTAAAAAATAAGAAGTCATTTACAAAAAAGTAATTTCAGTTTCTGATTTGTTTCATGTTATATTTAATAAAACAGACATGCAATTTTACTTCTTCACTTTAATAAATGACAGTACCATCACAACTGCCCACAATTTCTGACATTCATTCTAATGGCTAAATTCTTGTCATCTGACCCTGGCCAGAGTTTTTAAGTTCAGACCATATATTTTACCATTAATTCTAGGTAGCAAACAATACTGCAGTATCAAACTATATCTCTATTCAGAAAATCAGTCACACAAAAATTTGCTACTGCTCGGACAGTAAGTAGGTACCTCACCACCAATACTGAGAAAACAAAACCTACTTAAATTACAAATACTTGTGTACAAGTATCCTCTTTTACAACGAATTGAACATTTTAGGAAGAGAAAATTTTAATTACCTATGCAAATTTTGCAGTTAAGATCAAAAAGATGTTGTCTGTGTTGACTAGTGGTATCTTTAGACATGGAGTCAACCTCTTCTTTTTGTTTTTCAGATCCTTCTGGCTTCTCCAATGACTTATTGGCAGTTGGATCCTAACATAAATGACAGTAAAAATTAGTTTTAGTGGATAAGATTTGGCTTTAACTGTAAAAATCAATTTATACTTCATTCTGATATTTTTCCAAAATGAAACTGTTCCCTTCATAGGTTGGTTTTTACTATTTCTTAAAAAAAATAAATAAATAACAACTAGCTATTAGGACTTAAAATAGAGCAAAAACTCAAATATTCCACATTCGTGAAGGCTTCTAACAAGACTTCAAATTATTTTCTCACTAACATTTGAAAATAAAAGCTGTATCTGCTATCAAATGATAGTCTGCCTAAAAAGCACCTACAGATTCTAAGTCTACTAAGAAATTCACTAAGTCAAAGCACCCTAGAAGAATCTACATTATGACAGGTGTTTAACAGCTACCTGTAAGGCAGACAGTCTGCACAGGAAGAGAAACATTACTCTAAATGCTCTCAAATAACTGTTAAACCAATGAAACAGACTACTTTGAAATAAATGCATGTTTAAGAGTCTTCTTTCTACTTTAAAAACATTAGACAAGCAAACCTTTTCGAAATCTTCATGTTGTGAGCTATAAAACATGACATATTCACCTTTACCTGAATCTCCATGGCCGCTTCCTGTTCCTTCATTGGGGCATCGCTCTCAATTTCTATTTCACCTTTGTGAGTTATTTTTGTGATCGGTCGCCTTTCCACTTCTCTCTGCTCCTTCTCAATCATTTCTATGGTCTAACAGGAAATATTTTAAAAGAAATATTACATTTAAAATATCTATTTCCAAATGTATACTTTAAATGATCAGAGCTTAATCAACATTTGTATTCCTAACCCTGAATTGTACCCCACATCTTTATAATAAAAAAATAATGATGATGATGAGAGCTTACCTAAAGATGAACGAATCATCACAGATGACTTTTAATCTTTAGAGAGTCTCTCATACAACAAAAACATACTGAGTGCTTACATATACCAAAAACTGCTTTAATCACTGTGATTATAAAAATCAGACCCTGTACCTCAGTCATGAGAAGTTTACATGTATATTACAACAGGAGGCAACTGAAGAGCAAAATAATTTGCAAAGTGATGAAATATGATGTTTATATTTGAAACCCATTTGCCAATTTAGTACTTTTTAGCAGCTGCCACAGGGAAATAAAAACTATCTTGCTCTTAAATTTCTAATTTGATGTTTTAATACCCACCCCCAAGAGCAGTCTATTCAAATAATCAAAATAACCTGGCGGTCCTCTATTACAGTTAAGTCCCCTACATGTAAACAAGTTCCATTCTGAGAATGTATTCGTAAATTTAATTTGTTTGCAAGTCCAACAAAGTTAGCCTAGGTACCCAGCTAACACGATCAGCTAGATAGTACTGAATTATAGTACTTTTTTCACACAATACATAAAATCATATATACAGTACTGTACAGCACAATGCACAAAAACACTACCACTTATAGAGGATTCACACACATGACAACGTACATGAGACATATAACAAACTTATGGGACTGGACATGCAAACACATGTTCGCATCTTTGAAAGTTTGCAACTCGAAAGTTCATATGTAAGGGAGTTACTACAGCTGTCTCCTGAGTCTGCTTTGTAGCACTGATAATTCACAGTTGAACAAGCTCAGCAACTAACATAAAATTAAGCTAGTGTAGCAGAAGTAGTATCCAGGTAGGTGAAAGGAGAGTGGGCAGAGGAGGTGAAGAGGGGTCTGCTCAAGCATCTTGCTTTTGTTAAGTGCAAATCACCCTTTAAAGAACAAAATTAAGTACGTGGCCTAATAAACTGGTCTCTGAGGCAAAGGATATTTACAGTCAAAGTTCAAAGTAGAAGAGAATCATTTGCAAATTTGGGATATGGAGAGAAAGAAGAGGAAGTGATATTCTTTTCAAAACAAAAGAGCAGAAATTGCATAGAGTAAAAATAAAGAAATGTGTGAATAAGCATGGTCTGTCAAATAAAGGTCTCTTGAGTTTCAAACTAGATCTAGCACAGATTGACATGGAGGTTTAGTGCCTAAGATGAAAGCATGAATATGGACAAAAGAGGTAAATCATGCAACAGTGATATGAAATATAAATAACCAGTATTTTCTTTAAAATGGGACTAATATTCAAAGGCCATTGTAATAAAAATACCAGATAACATAGCTATCTCATTGTCACAACAGCTCTTAGCAATATATTCACTTAATCTTTAAAAGGTACTTTGAGTTCACAATCTCCAACTGAAAACTCCTGGCATTTGTGACTTTCGGAATCTTTTAGTTTTAAAAATGCAGTATGGTGCCCTTACTACATATTACTAACACTCAAGTTAGGTCAGAGACAACATCACATAATTAAATACACAATACTTCTGTGAATGTGAACATTCATCCAGGGCAATTCAGGTCAAGTTTTACCAATAAATTAGTTATAGGGCTTAGTGCGGTGGCTCACGCCTGCAATCCCAGCACTTTGGGAAGAAGAGGCGAGAGGATTGCCTAAGCCCAGGGGTTTGAGACCAGCCTGAACAACTTGGTGAGACCTTGTTCACTATAATAAATCAAAAAATTGGCTGGGCTTGGTGGCTCAGCCTGTAATCCCAGCACTTTGAAAGACCAGGTGAGTGGATTACCTGAGCCTGCGGGTTTGAGACCAGCCCAGGCAACTTGGCGAGACCTCATCTCTACAATAAATCAAAAATTAACCAGGTGTGATAGTGTACAACTGTAGTTCTGACTACTTGGAAGGCTGAGGTGGAAGGATCACCAGTGCCTAGCAAGTCATGGGGTGGCCGTGAGTGTGCCACTGCACTCCAGCCTGGACGACAGAGTGAGACTCCAACTCAAATAAATAAATAAATAAATAAATTAGCTGGGTGTGGTGGCACGTGCCTGTAGTTCCAGCTACTTGGAAGGCTGAGGTAGAAGGATCACATGAGTCCAGCAGGTTGAGGCTGCAGTGGCCGTGAGCATGCGTGCCACTGCACTCCAGCCTGGGCAATAGAGTGAGACTCCAACTCAAGAAACAAAAAAAAATTAGTTATAGGGAAAAAAAACTTATTTTTCAGAGCTTTTGGCATTCGAAACTTTAAATAATAAGAAACTATAGACCTAAACAAATTTTTATTCTGACTGAATTCATCTGCCTTTACAAATTACCAACTCATAACATCTTCAAACTGTGCTTCTGAAAAGTACAGATGTGATTAATCCTTCTCATTTACAAAATATAGTAACAAAACAAAAGGTAATTCTATAACCTGATAATTGAAGTAAATTAAAAAAAACTGGAGAGATCAGGAAAAACAACAGAATTTAAGAACTGGAGGGTAGAGAAGCATATGACAGAGAGCCCATGTGACTATGCAATCTGTGTGAATCACCTCTGTTTAATTTTCCCTGTGAATGAAAAACAGGTTTTGATGGTCAAATGCATATTTACAGTTAATCTTACATGTCTGTTTTCTCTTCGTCTCCAAGCAGCTAACTCTTTAGAAGCTAGTTCTTCTGGACTCATTCTTATAAGATGATCAGGGGTTACTTCTCCTTTCAAGACTTTCTTAAATAATATCTGGAAGGATTTTAAAAATGAGAAGAAATGGAGAGTCAAACACTTTTTTAAAAAAGCAGTTGTATAGAAATGTGTAATAAAGATATCATTTTTGAAGCGTAATTTACAAATATTTATTAATTTATATATTACCTACTACAGAATAAATGACAGCTTTTTATTCTAGGAATTTAACTAAGGCAGCAAAACCAATGTCATCAAAAAATCAACACATATACAGAAGCATGTACTAGCCAGGTGCGGTGGCTCATGCCTGTAATCCCAGCACTTTGGGAGGCAGAGGTAAGAGGACTGCCTTAGTCCAAAGGTTCGAATAGCACGTACCACATACAAAATTGAACACCTATCCAAAAGTTGCATGAAATATACCGAGGGACACAATCTAACCATCATAACCAATCTATAGTACAGCAAGGCACAGCATAAAAGAGCTTTACTAGATGTAATGTCTTCACAGTTTTAAGATGTTACATATTTAAATCCTGATAGGCTTGGAGGAGACTCCAGAGCAAAGAACCAACTTCAAGAAAGAATCCCAGAGGAATTAAGTCTTTCTTTAGTAACTGAATAAAAGTTTTCAGGTTATATAATTCAAAAAGTGTATGACTCCCCAGACCATGCTGGTACAATGCAGATTTTTCTTAAGTAGCTGTCAGTATTTCAAGTAAACACCTCAAATCACAAGTAGCAAATAACCTCATACAAATTTCTATCAGTTATGCGAAAATCTTGTATGCAAAGAGGCTGCATCTAATTACATTCTGTTACCTAGACTCATGTGTAGCAAAAACTCCCGTCACATTAAAAAGATCAATCATGTTGTGAACTTTTAAAATGTTCACTGACAAAACTTTTGGTTAGTATACTAATCAAAAGTCCACTTTTGATGCTGACTGCTGACACTGAATATCTCTCTCTCTCACTCTCACAAATGTCTTTTAAATTTCCTCTAAGTCCCAAACAAGAAATCTCAAGGAAAGATTAAGTGTTCAATTAATGTTTATTCTACTACTAAATAATATTTAGAACTAAAATTATATTTAATTTAGTAAAAATGTTTTCACATATCTTTTATCTAAATGTAATTTACTTTCTTGAGAAGCTACTTGGAAGGCTGAGGTGGAAGGATCGCTGGAGTCCAGCAGGTCAAGGCTGTGGTGGCCGGGAGGGGCCATTGCACTCCAGTCTGGGCGACAGAGTGAGACTCCAACCCAAAAAAAAAAAAAAAAAAAAAGAAGTACAACTCTATTTTCAGATTTAAATAAAAAGTAATAAGAGTGTTGTGAATTTTAGCTTAACAGTTTTCAAAGAATACATACGAATGAATTTTTTAATAAACTAGATTATATAAGGAACAGTGAAGGAAAAAGTTCACATCAATCAGAATAAGGCAAATTTAGTATTTCAAGAGACTGAATGCATAACACTATACATTACTAAGCAGAATTCTTAATTCAGTTCAGTAGCAAAAAACTTTATTAACATTACATGTCCTCAATCAAGAAGAAATTCAATCTCACACCAGTAAATTACAGATCTATCATCTTATAATCTGAGATGCCTATGTATTCAAGAAAGTTGGAAGTATAATATTCAGAGACATGAACAAAACATACTTACGTTGTTTTTAGGATCTTTCAGATTAAACATCAAACTTCTATATTTGTTCTTATATTTAGCATCTGTGTCCCGAAAAAAAGAGAAAAGCTCTTTTTCAATTTTTGTGGCAACTTTTGCTGCCTTTTCCTCTGGTACCTTCAGGTTTGAGTCTGTAAGTCTTAAAATTAGAATAATTCAATTATTTTCCAAACACATGAAATATCCATGAGTCAATCTTCTATAATAATAACATGTGTTACCTTTTCATAAGAATGTCTTTGAGAGAGTGCCTGACACTCTGTCTGATCTGATCCGCCGATGGCTTGGAGGCAGAAGCTGTGGGTGGGTGCACACTGGGCACTCCTTTCTCAACCTTCTTCCTTTTCGTCTCTTGCTTCTCATGAGAACCTAATCCAAATAAGCATCAAAGCTCATTATAGTGTTTTTAAAACATTTTTCTTATTTAATGCATAATATGAGTTTATAAACAAAACTGAATGATTAAAAGTCACTATTTGGAAATAAAGATCAGAACCCACAGTTCAAAGTGAAATCTTTGACACTGAAACTCTAATTAAAATGAACAGTGACTAAAAAGAGGTCCTACCTTTTTCCTAATTTAGATAATGGTTTTTAGAGCTAGTTTCTTTGCATATATATACATTAATTAACTTTTAAAAAGCTACTTAGAAAATATGATCTGTATTTATTAGGTGAGCTGATCCTTTACTATCCTTACAAATATCACAGAACTGATGAGTCTTTTCTAATTTTAATCATGCTTGATATTACTAATTTGAATGTTAAGCTTTTCAAATGATTGTTCATTCTCTTGCTACTAATTCCCATGCAAAACCTCAAACATCTCACCACCCTGACCTATCATATTAGCTCATTTATTCTAGAATCTGCTCATTCCAACAACTCAAATCTACTACTTTTACTATCTTCATGTCTTCACTTTCCCACATTACCAACTTAGATAAAATAGTCCTACACTATTAGCACTCCCTTGCATACTTAACACCTTTATTCTCTCTCCTTTAAACAAGAGTGTTGGAAACCACAACACTGATAAAAGCCAACTTTTATCCTTTACCCAAACAGGCTACAACCAGCTAAAGATAACTGGAGAAAAATAAGCACTGGTGCCGACAGATCTCATTTTCAATTTATAACCACAAATGCTAAGTAGTAACTTAACCACCTTCTACCCTAATCCTACTAACTTTTCCTAATAAGTTACAAGACATTTCATACTTTCCTCTCTTCTCAAGCAAACGATACCTCCTTCCCTACCTTACTTGATTTATTCCCTTCATATTTCACTGAGAAAACAAAATGGCAGCTATTAAATTCTCCTGCCACCAAATCTAACCTACTTGCATCCGTTCTCCCTCTGACCACACACAATCTTCCTTCCTAACATAAGCAGAAGAGCTGTGCCTTTCCATGACAACCCCCCTACCCATCACCGTGGAGTGAGTCCCACTCCTTCTTGTCTTTTCACAGACTTCACATCTCCACTATCACTGCTTTCCCCTACATCATCAATGTCTTCCCTGCCCCTGGATCATTCCCATCACAGACGCTATAGCACCTATAAACATGCTATAGCATCTCCTTAAAAAAAACAAAACACCTTGTCCCCATATCCACCTGTAACTATACCATTTCTGTTCCCTTAAACAGCAAAGCTCCTTCAAAGAATTATGCAAACAATAATTCCGCACTTTTCCATTCTTCCACAAGCCAGAACAACTGGCTTTTGTCCTTACTGCTCCACCAACACTGTTCTAGTTAAGGTCTGTGATGACCTCAATTCTGCTGAGTCACATACAGATTTACCAATTTGTGTTTGTCTTAAGTGTCCAGACAGCATGTGACACAGTTATCCTTCCTTCTTCATTAAACTGCATCTGGTTTCCAGGCCACCACAGTCTCATCTTCCTGCTTCCTCATAAGCCACCCCTTACCTCCTGTGCTGGAGCCTCCCCTTTCCCAGTTCAACATGCTGGTGCTTCCGGCTCTTTACCATCAATTCTTTTCACCATCAACTCTCTTCACCATCAACTCTCTTCACCATCAACTCTCTGTATTGGTCCATGATTCTACACAGGTTGAGTATCCTTTATCTAAAATGTTTGGGACCAAAGTGATTTTGGACGCCCAACCTGTACTAACAACTATGTATTCTGTAAGCTCTAGACTTGTCAGCCAATGGTTATGCAAACATTTCCACCTGGATGTCTAATAGAAATCTTAAAGCTATAATGAGCAGAACATAATTTTTTACTTTGCCTCCCCAAATCTTTTTCTCTCTCAGTCTTTCTCGTATCAGTAAATGGCACCAACATTTTATTCAATCATCCTCTTTCCCCACTCTCTCTCCTTTACCAAGTTATGTCTAATCCATCAGCAAGATCGGTTCCAAGCTACCATTACTTCTGCTTCTTTTCTAGGATCCTGCCATAGACTCCTCACTTGTCTCTCTTTCTCTCTCTCTCTCACTGGTGTCTGTCTGTCTGTCTGTCTCTCCCTCTCTCTTCCTCCCTCCCTCTCCTGTCTTCCTTCATCTAAACTGCACAGAGCATCCACAGTGATCCATCATTCCCTTGTAAAAAGCCTCTGAAGGTTTCCCATAACATTCAGAATGGCCCCCAAGGTCTTGCTCTGAGCTTTTCTATCACTATCCCATCCCTCAATCATCCATCTTCCATTCACTCTCCTGTGGTTCTTGCCTCAAATGCCAAGCCTTCAAACTTACTGTGTCCCTTATCTCGTCCCTCCTCCAAAAAACCTTTGCATCCCTTCAAGTCCTACCTCAAAGTTACTTGATTCATTCCATCTAAAACAGAAGCTCCCACCATGTTCCACGACTGTGACTCTCTATCCCCTCACTCCAGTCTGTGTCATATGCTCTAAAGTAACATAGAATCTTCTTACTTGAAAACTCACTGTCTGCCTTCTGCCATGAGGATTTAAGTGCAGGAGAAGAGGGGCCTTAAGTTCACTAGTGTTTCCTCAGAATTTATTAATAGAGAAATAGTTTTTAATTACAAGGTCAGTCGTCTAAGCTGTTTGTAGTGCCATTTAAATGTTAAATTTTAAAAACGTAAATATACTAATTAATTATATATAAAATAAAATACAAATATATTTGTATGTAATAATTTCTATTAAACTCACTACCTTGTTTTGAAGCTTTTTCTCCCGTGCAGACAGTTACAGACTCTTTTGTTGCTTTTTCACTTTTTTCTTCTGAGGATCTTCGAGGCAAAACTGGTTGTCCCATCTTACGAAGAGGAGCTAGCTGCCATTTTTTAATTTCATTATCTCTACAGTCCGATGAATTTCTGCCTTCACCAGACTCCTGAAAAAATAGTATTTAACTCATTAGAATGAAAACTACTAAACAATCTTTAAGGCCAGGTGCAGTTGCTCATGCCTGTAATCCCAGCAGTTTGGGAAGCTGAGGTAGGACAATCGCTTGAGCTCAGGAGGTCGAGACCAGCTTAGACAACATAGTGAGACCCTGTCTTTACAAGAAAAAAATTAGAAAATTAGCTGGGCATGGTGGCAGGCACCTGTCGTCCCAGCTACTCGGAAGGATAAGATGGGAGGATTGCCTGAACTGAAGAGGTCAAAGCTGTGGTGAGCTATAAATGTGCAACCGGACTCCAGCCTGGAGGTCAGAAAGAGATCCTGACTTAAAAACAAAACAAAACAAAAATCTTTAAATACAAAATGGGCCTCAACAGTATGTGGGGGTAAAAAACTAAACCAAATTAACTTTACAACCTACTAAGATATCAAACATGTTCCATTCTTTAGCTCAGATGTTTAACTGTTTCTTAAAAGATGTGGGGAAAAAAGTGGCTCACACCTGTAATCACAGCACTTTGGGAGGGGGAAGCGAGAGGAATGCCTGAGCCCAAGGGTTTGAGACCAGCCTAGGCAACTTGGCAAGACCTCATCTCTACAATAAACCAAAAAACTTAGCTGGATGTGGTGGCACACACTTAGCTATTTGGAAAGCTGAGGTGGAAGCATCGCCTGAGCCCAGCAGGTCAAGGATGTGATGGCCGTGAGCATGCCACTGCACTCCAGCCTGGGCGACAGAGACTCTAAATTTTTTTAAAAAGGAAAAAAATAACTCTTAGGATAGGGGTAGTGGTTCACGCCTGTGACCCCAACACTATGGGAGGCAGAGGCAAGAGGAGTACCTGAGTCCAAGAGTTCAAGGCCAGCCTGGGCAACTTGGCGAGACTACAATAAATCAAAAAATGAGCCAAGTGTGGGGCACATGCCTGTAGTTCCAGCTACTTGGAAGGTTGAGGCCTGTACCCAGCAGGTCAAGGCTGCGGGTAGCCATGATCATGTGATCATGTGATCATGCAACTGCACTCCAGCCTGAGCAACAGAATGAGACACTGACGCAAAAACAAAAAAGCAAACTTCTGATTATAAAAACAAGATTCACTCTGCTATTCAAAATCCATTTTTTAAGCATCTACTTTGTACAGAATACAAATAGCCTATAAAAGAGAAACAAGGGACATGGAGGTCATATTCCCAATATCGCTATTAGAAAAGAAATTAGATATAAGGTAATACAAGTTTTCTCAGTTGACTGTAGATATGGAAAAGGGAAGATAAGATTGTGAAGAATAGCAGGAAACTGCCGGGGGGGGGTGTGTGGGAGGGGGACTGGCAGTAGTGGGAATCTGCCAGGGGAGGGGGGAAACACCTCATCAACAAGGGTACCTGCTTAATGAAAACATTTGTATACCTAACCCTGAATTGTACCCATCTTTAAAATAAAAAATTTAGGCCGGGCTCAGGGGTTAAGCCTGTAATCCTAGCACTTTGGAAGGCCGAGGAGAGTGGATTGCCTGATCCCGCAGGTTCAAGACCAGCCTGGGCAAATTGACGAGATCTCGTTTCTACAATAAATTTTTTTTTAAAAGCCAGGCGTGGTAGCACACATCTGTAGTTTTGGCTACTTGGAAGGCTGAGGCGAAAGAATCGCTGAAGCCCAGAAGGTTGATACTGGAATGGCCATGAGCGTGCGTGCCACTGCACTCCAGCCTGGACGAAGGAGTGAGACTCCAACTCAGAAAATAAAATAAAAATAAAAAATTTATATTAAAAAAATTGTGAAGAAATAATATCTTTTTCACTATATTTCTAAAACAAATGAAGCCACATTCACTTATAATAAATGTACCGATTAAGTGTGACTATTGGCAACGTTAACTCCCAGAAAATAGAGTAAACCACGGGTGCCTGCTACTCTGATCCTAACTATAATCCACGAAAAATTTCTAGTGAAACTGGAATTCTGAGGCCCTTGCAAGAAATTAATCACATCATACTTCAATGCTTAAAAGAGAGAGGAGCACTATGTACAGGCAGACATATAATCATAGGTTTTAAGATACAATATATACAAAAGAAAGATTTTCTCTAGACTGGGAATCCTCTGATTTTGCTATTTACTTGTCTATTTTCTACCTCCTCAACTAGAAATCCTTGAGACCGGGAACATACTTCGATGTTACATATCCAAGGCTGGCAGTACTATGCCTGGTACACAACAGAAACTCACTAAGTGGTTCAACATAAAAATCTAGGAATAAGAAGTGTTGTTTGAAAAACAGACTCCATAAACTAATGTTAGACAAGTCCAAATAAGAGTCAACAGTTTACATCAAAAAGAAGGAAGCAGTGATCACTTTGATGGTATGTGCATTTAGAAAGTCAGACTAACCTCAGTTCCTTTTCTGATATGGACTGGATAGAGGTGTTTCTCAAAACATTAAGTGTCAATGTTTTACAAGGTCTTTTTAATAAAGATGGAGACAACAGAGCTAAATGACAATAAAAGTATTATTTCTAAATGGCCAAGAAGTTGTACACAAGAGGAGAGAATTAAGTTAATAATAAATAGAAGTTTTCCAAAGACATGCTATAAACTGTTCTCAGTGGGGCTCTTGGACCCATATTTTAATTACCTTGATGCTGATCACATCGAGAAACAAAGTAATAGCAAATATTAAGACAGAATCTGATTTTCAGAAGGTCTTGGCAGACAAAAAAACGTTGGAAAACTACAACTTAATCCAGATTTGTCAAACTAGAACTTAATCCACATTTGTGACACAAGTAGAGCCTGAAAGAACTGATTAATTTATGAACAATGGGTAAGACTTTGGAGAAAACATGCTCATGCTCTTCCATCTAAACTACCTTCCCTACCAGATGTTATAGAAAAACTAACTTTAATAAGGAGGCTTCGGAAAACTAAAAAGTTTTCAGTCATGACAATTTCAGCTCAAACTGAGGAACTCTCTAAGAATTATAGCTGCTTAAAAATGAAGATGTATCTATTCCCTTGCAATGGTTTTTAAACAGAAACTAGATCATCACTTCCTAGAAATGTCGTAGAGCATATTAATCAATCAGAGTGGTTGGATAGAGATGTCTAAGGTTCTAAGTCTACAATTCGTGCTCTTGTTTCTACAATACTGCCTATCCACACGTGTGGTGCCATTGTTTCCTCCCTACCTAGCACTATTCTAAAAAAAACAAAAAACACATCAACGATGAGAAAATTCACAGGTATTAGGAAGGAAGGCAAGGACACCGAGCATGTCATCGGGTAAAATGTTGTGTCCTTTATACAAGGACATTTCTATTAAAGATTAAACGTCTTCAAAGTTTTATTTAGGAATACTTTCAGAAGGTTATTAAACACCTCATCAACAAGCGTACTTGCACAATGAACATTTATATACCTAACCCTGAATTATTTAAAATAAATTATTTTTTTAATGTTATTGTAAAAAGTAAGACCAGTAAAAAATTGACAACTTTTTAAGAGACCATAGTTTGGGATAAAAAATTATGAGATCAAAGTTCTAACCAAATACTAAGACAAAGTCAAAATAATTAAGATTATTTTTCCTTACAGAGAGAAGATAACTCTTCCACTTGAAAATAATGCCAGTCGATCATACTCAGTAATTTGTCACAGAAACAAAGAGCAGAGTTCCGTATGTTCTCACTCATAAGCGGACCTTGAACAATTATAATGCTATAAGAAAGCATTTGGCAGTAGTGGGAAACTGTCAGGGGAGGAGGAGGTGGGATTGGCAGTTGAAGGAAACTGCTAGGGGAGTGAGGGGCATACCTCATCAACAAGGGTACCTGCATGATCAATGTTTATATACCTAACCCTGAGTTGTACCCCACATCTTTGTAATAAAAATTTTATTAAAAAAAGAAAATAATAATGCCAAGTGGTTAAAGAACTGGTGGATATTTATACACTAAAAAGCTTTTTAAAAAATTTAGCAAGCACAATTTACACTTAAGACCACAAGATCACATACACATTCAACAACAGAAAATTCAAGTATCAAACTAGAGACTCGAAATAGCACAAAAGACTATGTGATAAGACCTGTATATTCTGAAGGTCACCACCTGGTTTCACCAAGATTGCCAAAAAATCTTAAATAAAAATCAATTCACTGTTATTTAAAAAAAAAGTTTGAAATGTACATTAGAACATTAAAACTTTAAGAAAAATTTCAAAATTCTCAGTCCATACAAAAACATCTTAAATAACAACACAATGAAGAGCTCACCCGTTTTAAAATCTTGACCTTGTGCTTTACTGTATCATCTATATATTTGGTTTTATCATTTGTTGTGTGTTTTGATAATCCAAGCTTTTCACACTCCATTGCTTTATCTTCACTATGAACTTCAACTGTAGCTTGGTTTTCTAAAATATCTGGATCAAATATTTCACTCTTTTTATCTTCTTCAGCACAACATTTTACACAGACATATTCTTTGTCTTCCTCTCCCATTTGCTGTGCTTGGGAAAGACTTAATCCGACACAATCACCATGAAACCAGTCATCACATCTCCCACAGCCAACCATAAACCTGAAAGGGAAAAAAAAAACTTAAATTTTCAATATTTGACTTTCTAATACTTTGTATGCTTTTCATTTTTACCCATTCTGTAAGTTCAATATGATGCATGTTTTCAAAGAAAAGAATATTCTTTGCAAATAAAACCTTTAAGACCCCAAATATTTCCCCTCTGATATGAATGAGAAAATGCTGGCTGGGGTAGAGAAGGGCAACAAATCATAAGGAAAAAAATCAAGGACAACTAGTCTTTGTTACTACAAAATACTAAACAGAATAACAAAGTACAGAAAAACAGCACATTTCTCCACTGAGAAGGCTGGTAAGTCCTCTATGATAATTTGATGTCACGCTATTAGTTACAGTACATTACCACAGACCAGAAATCACACATATAATTGGGAATTGTTTATCCAACTAGTCTTAAGTGACGACAAAAAAAAAAAATAGCAACAAAAATGTAACTCAAAAATCAGCATGATGGAGCTGCCAAATGGTTTATTAACCACTCTAACTTAGGCTCAAAATGTTCTGGCTCATAAGTGTTATACTGACTCAGCTAAACAATTTTTATATACTTTTGAGTGTGAAGGACTTCCTTACTAATAACCAAGTGTTTCGTATAAACTTATTTTCCCAAATAAAGATCAATATTCTAACAAAGATATTCATAATCGGGTTGGATTTAATTCCTCATCTTCTTATGTAAGTTTTCCCTTTACTGCATTTAAGCTAAGAAATAACCTCAGGAACCACTAGAAAAAGTATAGGGACATGAGATTTACAACTCTTAAAAAGCTTCTATTTTTCTACTTTAAAAAGACTATCTGTAACTACTTGGGAATAAAATGGCAAATTCAATGTCACAATTTCAGGGAGAAACTATTTTTCACACGCTTTCCAAACAATCACTAAGAAAACTACAATGCTCACTTCAAAGAATCACTTTTAACATTTTCTTTCTTCAAGCTTGCAATTCATGTTTGGAAGACTTAGGATTTAGGTATGTTCTTCAATGATCTAAAGACTCTGCACTGCTGATTTTAATAACAGTGACATCACCAAAAGTGTCAAACTCCTCTTAAGTTGTAGTTCAATAGGAAGATGTTAAAGGTAATATGCTAGATGATGTGACCAACTCAAGATATATCAAAGGTTGTTTGAATGTAGAAACTATAAAAACTAGAACTGAGTTTCGGTCTATACAGAGTGTTTAAAAATTCATGCCAAATGCCTCGTGCCTCAATAGCAGCGTTTTTCTTTCTCGTGTGTCTCTCTACTGTGTACAGAACCACTGTTGTGCTGTAAGGAGACTTGTCTTTGTCCCATCTGTAACTCACCACTCCTCATCCATACTGGTAATGCCTATGCCACCTTTCATCAGTAAGTCATCTCTCCAGTGATTCATTTGAAAAGTAAAAATAACACACAATATTTGGGGTTCACAAGTAAGAGAACTTTCAAGCAATGTAATAATATATGTATGCAAGAAAACAATTTCTTTGTGAAGTGTTTGATAGGCCCATACTGTTTCAATGACACAAGTACTACAGCCAGCAGGAAAAAAATAAGTAAACGGATGTGCTTACAAGTTCTTCCATTTGCAAAGTTACAAGAAATAATATTTCTTGAAAGCAACTTTCCAATGTGAATGCTTCTAAAATATTGAAGGAAAGCTAATGGTGACTTCCCTTTACTACCACAAAGTTACATTAATATTTCCTCAAAGCAAGTCTAGGATAGTTTCAGAGACACGATTTAAAAATCTACAGACTATGATTTTGTCCCAAATTCAAGTCTAAAGATCAAATTATAAAATACACATTGAGGAATCTTCAAATTTTTACTTGATAACCAGGGAAGAGTAGTTTCATGATCATAGTTATCAACTAATTATCTCACTACACCTCATTTCAAGTTTATTTTGGAAATGTCTCAAAACTTGAGAAGCTCTGAAAAGCAAATCTCTAGTATCATCTACAAATGTGTCTTATTTAGATTTTATGTAGAAATTGCAGTTATATAACATTTTCAGAGAAATCAAGAAAAAATGACATCAATAATATCCACATGTCCCAGGAGAAAATTCATTTTAAAATAAAATTGGTTACCCGAGAATGTAAATATGGGTAATTTTTAGGTCTAAAATTTATAAGCACTGAACATTTTAAATCACATTTTTTTAAATGCTTATCAAATAAGGAGACTGTATTTTCCTCCCCTTTCATGTTACTACTGCTCTACTTGAAAAACATGGGTAGTGGGAGAGGACGTAGGGACAAAGGGAGTGGCTTGAGTAGCAGCAGCAAACATTTACTTTTCCATTTTCTGCCCTGTCCTTAGATTTCTAATTACCACGAGAAAAAAACCACTTTTAAGAAAAAGTTATAACCTAGATGTTAAATCTTTTACTACAAAATCAATGTTATGTGGAGCTAAGTTCTGGATCAATTAACTGGACCCAGTCAACATGAATCAGTTGACTGAAGAGTTTAGCAATATTTATGCTTTCTTCTGTTTTATGATCATATATAGAATTAAAAATTAAAATGAAAAAGTAAGCCAGGTGCAGTGGCTAACACCTGTAATCCCAGCACTTTGGGAGGCAGAGGCGAGAGGACTGCCTGAGTCCAAAGGTTCAAGACCAACCTGGGCAACTTGACGAGACTCTACAATAAATCATAAAACTAGCCAGACATGGTGGTGCATGCCTGTGGTTCCAGCTACTTGGAAGGCTGAGGCAGAAGGATCACCTGTGCCCAGCACATTGAGGCTATGGCAGCTATGAACATGCCACTGTACTCTGACCTGGGCGACAGAGACAGATTCTTACTTAAAAAAAAAAAAGTAAACTAGATCTACCATAAGAGAATTAAAAACTAATTTAAAATTCTAATCTTGGCCACATGTAGTGGCTCATGCCTGTAATCCCAACATTTTGGGAGGTGGAGGTGAGGACTGCCTGAGCCCTGGGGTTTGAGACCAGCCTGGACACTTAGCAAGATAACATCCCTACAAAAAAAAAAAAAAAATCAAAAAATTAGCCAGTCATGGTGGCACACACCTACAGTTCCAGCTACTTGGAAGGCTGAGGGTGAGAGATTGCCTGAACCTAACAGGCCAAGGCTGCAGTAGCCCTGAGCATGCCACTGTATTCCAGCCTGGGCGACAGAGTGAGATTCTGACACCAAAAAAATAAAAAATTATCTTTTTGGTATGAACCAAAGAACTGTTCTTAGAAAAGTGTCAAGTGTCTTCAAAGTAAACTACAGAAAAAAACTGAGAACTCCTGCTCTTAACAAATCTATCACAAATTCACTAACACTGTAGGTGTTACAAGATGGGCCTTCAATTCTGGTATTTCATTTAATAACAGAGTAAAGAGAATCATTTATTCAGTAGAAATTTTTTCTGAGAAGTAATTTTTCTTATATGAATATAAAGCTATAAACGCATTTTGCTAAGGAGTGTGTTTGTTGTTTAAATATCATTCAATATACTAATTTTCTACAACTGGGGCCAAGAAAGCATAATGCACACTAAACATCCAAGCATTTTCTGGAGAAGCGGGAAATAGAAACCACAACGCAGATAATAGGAAAAGACTAAGACTTCCATACAAAATTCCAATTGGTTTATGTTCGAAAGTCACATTACGTTAAAAAAAAAGAAAAAACAGAAGATTAAATAGTCTGTTTTTTTAAAACAATATTCCTTGGGCATAAGGCAGAATCAGGAAAGCAAAAAAACTGCACAATGTGTTGACTATTAAGGGGTATACTGTCTTGAGATTCATATAGGAGTTGCTTACAGTCAAATGTGACATCTAGCCATGCCTTGAGTAAATAGCCATATTACACAACCTAACTTCCAATGGGAAGAAAGCTAACTTCAGCTGCAATATGTGAAAAATGCCAAAGAGTTCAATAGTATTTACAGAAGCATAGCTTTCAATGTGTCTATTGCATGAGATCAGAGAGCAATCAAAATGATTTCCAAATAGGCTCTTCCTAATAAATTTATATTCTTACTCAAGGATTAAAATAGGAAAATCACATGCTGAAGGACAGGTGAATTTTTTTAGTAAAATCAATGTATAAAGCATACTATATCAAAGCAGTAGTGAAGGCTAGCTAATATGTAAAGAAAAGGCGATCAATTCCATAGTCTTCTTTATTTACGGAATTGAAGTAATCTGAAATACTGCTTCCAAAATTGATTGCTGCCTATGTTAATCTAATATTATTCCAGTTAATTACATAGAGTGAAGCCCAAATCCCTATGCATCTAACATTCTAAGTCATTTTTCAGAACAGGGCAAAGAATCTCTAGATTTTATAGAGTAGATGCAAAAGGTGGCATTAGGAAAAACAAAAAAGGAATTAACACCAAATCTTCATTTTTAGGAAAATAACAGTTGTTGGTGAAGTCTGGGCAAACTCCTAAAGACTGAGCCAACTCCTAAAGACTGGGCCATCAGAAGTTTTAGTTAATGTTAAATGATAACCTGCTTAACAGGGCTTCCAACTCTCTGCCAGTTTTATTCTAGAAATTTATTCACTTAAGGCTCCTATTCTATTCCATCTTTCTGACCACATGTCAACAAGAAAATTTTTAGATAATTCTGGCAGAGAAAAAGGGCTGACTTAAAGGAGCATGTAAAGTAACATCCAAACCTGAACTCGCTCGAGACTGACAACAGCAGGCCCACTTTAGACTATCTGAGCAAGGTGTTTAAATGAAAAGCATTATGAACGTATGACTGAGGGCAAATGTAGCACTGTATTCAAACAAGGGACAATTTTTAAAAACTGAAATATAATGTTATAAAACCCTTGACATTAAAAATAGGCCACAGGCTGAATCACAAATTTAAAAATCCTTTGACATAAATCTTATTTTACAGAATAGCCCCAACACCCCTTCCCCACCAAATAATGTGTGACAATACACATTACTAAATTTCCCTCCCTACGGTTTCATTTTCATGTAATCAGAGAGTGCTGGACAAAGTCACTCTACCATGTACTCCCATGAGTAAGGATAATAATACAGTGTACATGTTATATGTTATTTTATCATATCGGTGTTGATAGACATTCCAACAGCAATGTGAACACTTAATAGGATAATCTTGTAGCTGCGAACTCCACTTCATCTCTTGTTTTCCTTTTCTTAAAACGCTAGCAAAAAAATACACTAGGGGTGAGGGGAGGCAGTGTCATAAAACTACAGAACACTGAATCCTAAGAAAGGATGATAAAAGGTCTGCTAAAATCACCTCTAAAATGTTAAAAGATCAGAATTCACAAAATTCCTGAAATCACTAAAACGTTCAAAAAAGAAATACATGTTTTCATTCTACTCCATGTTACATACAATAGTCACCTAGGTAATCTAACAATTGTTTAGCTATCAAATTTCATATGAAGTGATGATATTAAGTCTTTAATGTGCTTCATTTTACAAAAAAACTTCAAAAGAAAAAAAGAATTTCCATCATAACCTTCATACTTTATTACTAGTTCTCATACCAAATAAAATGATATATAACTTACAGACCCAAAGCAATGTAACAATTTTCTGATTAGCAGGAAGTATTTGGTGTTTTTCCAGAAGCAATGACTAAATTACACTAACTAGTTACAATAACAAAACATTTCCATATACGTAGCTGTTGATTTATGAAATGTTATGCTTTATAAAATGTTGTAGGATGACGTATTTGTAAATTCAGCAGCTCCATCTTTCTATCATTTATCCAAAACTGATGAAGGGCTTTTTTGGTTTCTGTACAAGTCTTTGTATGTTAAATAATTTCTTCCTATAAAAAAGCTCTCACACTATTCCCACCTCCCAAAAGCAATTTCTCATCAATGTACACACCACTCGTACACATACATACACATACATACACACACACACACACACACACACACACCTGTTGCCATGTGGTTTTTTGCAAAACCCACACTGCTTGCTGGGAGTCCACACATATTTGCTTTCAAATGAGGAGCTATGATCACAGCCTTCTCTTTTTACAGTAGCTATGTTGTCTGGAATGAACAGTGGTGGTTCATCAAAGGAAAGACTTTTGCTGCTTCTTCTCTGGCGGGGTTGCAAGTTCTTCTCAGGCTTTTTTAGTCTCAGTTTCTCCTCCTCCCTGAGCTGCTCACTGCCAGAGTGCTCGACCTCTTCCCTCCCATGACCACTGCCCTTCACTGCAGGGACCTGTGGCTGAGGTCTTGGACATGGCTTCTGGCTGAAATGCATTGTGTGTCCAGTTTGTGCAGGATGAGGGGGCTCTTTAGAGCATCCAGGATGGCCATAAGGCTTCTCACTAAAGGAATGAGCTAAGGGCTTGGAACTCTGCACAGGCTGCTCCTGTAGTGTTTTTTTCAGTACAGAATGAGTTTGGTTTTTCCCAGACTTAAGCCCAGAATTGCAACTCTGAATCTTTGATTCCTTATCAACTTGTTTTTTCCTGACTTTGATTGGCCTATGAAAATTTTGCTGAGATTCTGGCTCATCAGTATTTCGTTTCAGACTTTTGACATTAACTTTCGTTTTGCTATGCATCACTTCGTGCTTTGCTGCCACAATTTTTTTTGGAGTATCTGTGGTCATGTTTTGCTTAGAATGAATTAGAGGTTTTGTGTGTTTAGATTTTATGCTTTTAGATTCTAAGAAAGAAGTGCTACTTGACTGGCTGTTTCTGTCATCTTGAAGATATGATGTCTCGTGGGACTCCATTTTAGTACTTTCAATAATACCCAACTGTTTTGAATTCTGGTCAGGCACATCACAAATAGCATTTTCTAAAATATTACTTTCTGATTCAAAAGCACTAGTATCAATCACTTCTAAGTTTGATTTATTAAACTCAGTGCTCTGCAACTGCTTCTCAGACTCTGTCTCTTCACAATAACCCAATGGTTTAACTTTATTTCTCTGAATGGAGTTCTCTGTTTTATCAGCAACATCCACGGTATTCTTCAACTCCAAATTACACTCAGTCACTTCATCCACTGAACTAGACAAACCTAGAAGATTCTTTTCTGTCTTATTTGGATTTGTACAAGCAGCATCACCAGAAATACCAGCAGAAGACGCAGATTCCTCAATAATTTGGCTTTCTTGATGAGATAATTTTGCTGTCTCCTTTGATGCTTGTTCAACTTTTCCCTTTACAGTCACCTCTTCAACAAGTGTCTCATCCATTTTACCTGAAATGGAATCATTCTGCTCCTGTTCTCCTTTATCTGAGAACTTAAACAATGGGCTACTAATAGGTTTAATTTTACATTCCATCAGAACGTCATTTTTCTTTTCTTCAGCAGCAACACAAGTTTCAGAAAAAAGTGTACAACTTAATTCGTGAGATGGCACATTTGCTTCTCCTTGATTATTACACTTATGCTTAGAATCTAATCCAGCTTCATCTTTCACTTCAAGACAAGATGACACTGAAGAACGACTTGAAGACACTGACACTGCTGGTACAACTTCAATTTGTCCAGTATGCCGGCTGCTCCTTCTAGTCTCCTTATGACACTCGAGTTTTGGTGATGTACAAACTTCTTCTTTAATCTGACTCCTTTCTGGTTGCTTCACCCCCACTTTAGGGGTAGATACAGTCTTCCCAGATGCTTTTTTTGTGTTACTTAAAGGTGCTGCATTTGAACGCTTGGCAATAGTGCTTTGTCGCAAACTTCTTACTTGTTCTATCACAGGGAAAAAAAATAAATAAAAATAGCTTAGCTATTTTGCCATGTGCTTTTATTTCAGTACAATTTAGTATATATTAATTCTTTATGCTGAACTATAAAATGTGCTTATTTCAACAAAGATGTACTGAACAGTTACACATAATGATAGTCATATATATGTGTGTGTGTGTATATATACATATAAAAGCATATATAAGCATATATTAACATGTTAAATTTTATATTTATCAAAGTTCTCTGAATTCTGGTGGGGGGAACCTCCATAAAATTCAGACTAATGTTATACTTTACTACAGAAAATGTTTTCATTAAGTCTTTTTTCCATAAAAAGTAACCTAGGAATAAAATAAGTAAAATGAGCTTCCTTTACCATTTATGCACATCTTAAAAGAAAGATCATCATGCACTTTAAAACATTAAATATTTCTAACTATATAAAACCAAACACATTCAAGTCCTAATACAATCTGAACTGACACCATCTATAGCAAAAAGAATCTGTAGTAATTTCAAGACACAGTCTCAAGAGAACACCAACACCCCTATCAGCTTGCTTCCCTCCTATCCCTGTTTCAGCATTCTATGTATTCCTAACAGAAATAGCATGTAGAGTACCCACAGATCATCAAAAAAAGAAACCACCAAAAGATCTAAACCAAAAAACTGTATTGTAAGATAAATTAAGGAAAAGTATGAATTTAATAAAGCCTCCCACCTTTAACATTGCCCCTAATAAAGAGTATTAAACAAAAGACTCTCCTTTCCCTATTCTGACACATCCTCATGGGAAAGAGAAACACAAAGTGAGAAGAACTAGAATAAAAAAGAGAGCTCAACAATTCACTACATAGAAAAACAACTCACAAGCTGAAATTTGTCATTTATCCTTGACCTCTGAGAATCTTTAAAAAGGTATATGTCCTTATTTACCTGGAACAGTCTCAGGTGATGGTTGCAATTCTGATGTACTTATTAACAGCACATGCTTTCACTCTTAAAAGTGTTCCCAGTTTGGACAATAAATTATATTATCATCCTCATCTTAGGGACACTTTCTAATTCCCCCCAAGGACGTGGCACCAGTATCCGGATATGAGGTAAGTACTCAACAACTTTTAAACTTACAGGTGGATTATGAACTGTTCATCACATGTTCAACTGTATAATTTTCTATAAACTGTGATGTACTTTTAACAAACTTTTGTTTTATATAGTTTTAATAAAGTTTTCTTTCAATATTTAGATAATTTCTAAAGTTTTAAACATAGCTTATAGTAATTTACAGCTCTCCTTTATTAATCCTTGAAATAAAATACTTTAATACCCACTATCCACTAACAAACAAATGAAGAACTTTTAACACTCAAGTAGTTACTAAAAATGAAGAACTAGTGTATTCAGTTGTGAAGAATATTCAGATTTTAAAAAACTGTTTTCCAATAGTGAGTAATTTATTAAGCAAAGGATAAAGTCACTTTTTCTTCTCTAAATATAAATTACCTTAACTTAAAGCTTAAGTTAACTATGTTAAGTTAGCTTAACTATGGACAAAATTTCCTTTATTTTTCTACATTCATTCTAATCATTTCATTTCTCGAAGTTCCAAGTATACATCAAATAACTGATTTTAAAAACTGATTACCAAAAAACACTGATTACAAGTATAAATCAAAGAAAATATGATAAAGTAAACACATTTATCTACATTTATTCACATCTCAAAACCCTACTAAAGCTATAACAAAGAGGTCTTTTTTGAAAAGATGTGAGACCAAAAGAAAAAAAAGAACAAAAGATGAGAGAAAACAGCAGTAAATTTTGGAAGCCAAACAGGAGATCATTAAAAAAGTACCTAATGGGCTGGGCATGGTGGCTCACACCTGTAATCCCAGCACTTTGGGAGGCCAAGGCAAAAGAACTGCCTGAACCCACGGGTTCGAGACTAGCCTGGGCAACATGGCAAGACCTTGTCTCTACAAAAAATCAGCTGGACATGGTGGTCCAAACTTGTGGTTCCAGTTACTTGGAAAGCTGAGGTGGAAGGATCACCTTAGCCTACCAGGTCAAGGTTACAGTAGCTGTGAGCAGCGTGTCACTGCACTCCAGCCTGGGCAACAAAGTGAGACTCCGACTCAAAAACAAAAAAATAGAAATATAAAGAACCTGATGTAGGAGACTCAAAAGTGACAAACACGAAGCTGGCAATGTTGGCAAAAAATGAGCACCATTAACATCCCCAAAGTCTTAAGAATTGGTGGCTGGAGGACTCTAAAGTGGGGATGAAGGCAGGTGGTTAAAACCAGAATAGGCTGCAAGCTAGTTACGGGAAGCAGAGCTGGTTCTTCTCCACTACTTCACCCCTGTACCTTTCCCTGGTCCTAAACCAAGCCCGGTGGCTTACTCTGGAGAGAATAAGACAGGATTTCCTAGACTAAAGAATACCGGGCACAGCAAAAGACACTGAAATGTTTTAGATTAAATGAAAGCTAAGACACTCCAGTCAGTTTTCCTCAAGGGCTTCCATAATATGCTAGCAAACTAGTGAGTCAATATGGAATAACTTAAATTCTGACATGAGGGGTCTGTCAAAAAACAGCACAGTCAGTTCACCACATAACTCTCATAGTTGGCAAAACCCGGCCCACACAGTGACAAGTTCCACAGTTTTAATTCCCACCCCTTAACACGAGCAATAATCAAGGATCAGACATCTTAGGAAAGCTTCTAGGAAAGACGGAGTCCAAAACTTTTCATTTTAAAAAAAAATTCAATATGTAGAAAACAGAAACTACAAAAAGAGATAAAAACTTTGTAAAACACCATAAGTATATCGATAAAGACAGTAGAAGATACTACATCTATGAAACAAGAATAGAATGCTACAAAAAGGACCATTCACAAAACAAAACAAAATGAACATTTAGAAATTAGAAGTACAAAACTGGATTGAAAAACTGGAAAATATGAGAAAATTTAAGCAAGTAAAAGACAAAGAAGCAGAAAGCAGGCAGGAAAAAGACAACGGAAGGGTTATCTACTATCTGACAAATAATAATAATGTTTCCAGAAATCAAGAGCTAAGAAAATAAAGAGGGGAATTAACAATAAAATAATTTAAGAAACTGTCCCAGAATTGAACAGTAAGTTTTCAGACTAAAGACTGACCTAGCTCAATACGTAAAATAAACTGATATACAAGAGATTACCATGAATATCAAAACACTAACTAGAGAAGTTCCAGAGAAAGATTCCACAAACTTCCAGAAGAAAGCAAATAACATATACCCTGCCCCCTCCAAAAAAATCACAATACGTTTCTCAGCAACAAAAACATTAAAAAAAATTGGACCAACACCTTCAATATATCTGAAGGAAAATGATTTCCAATTCTGAATTCTATGTCCAACCAGATCATGATTCCAGAGTGAAGACATTAAATACAAAGTTTAAAAAGTGTGTTTCAATGATACTTTTTCTCACAAAACTACTGTAAGAGGGCATCACCAAAATGAAGGAATTGAATCAAAAAAGAGGAAACAGAACTACAACAAAGCACAAAGCACAGACCCCTCAGAAGAAAGGCAAAGGGAGATCCAGGACAGCTCTGCATCAGGCTCACAGTGCCAACACCCGACCAGATAAGAGTGAATCAGATAGCCCCAAGAGATACATATGACAGAATACCTGATATATACAAATATCTCCTGGGAAGATCAAGACAACTGGCAGAGCAGTTGTGGTATAAACTAAGTAAATGAGAAACAAAAACAATTAAATTGGAAAGATAAGAAGTTATACAAGAAAAGTAACTATAATTTATTAAATGAGTCATCTCTAACAGCATATATAATCACAGCAACATAAATAATTACTTATCTAACAAAATTATATATTGAAAGAATGAAAAACAAATGTTCACTTATGTGATGGGAATGAGAAGTAAAAAGAAAATCATCATCCAGAGTAGTAAGTCAACAGATAAATGCCTAAATCAGAATAATCGAAAAATAGCAACATATGCACGTTACCTAGAAATCTGAAGGTAAATGCCAAAAATAAAATCGGCTGAAAGAGTTAACAGTAGTTTCCTCTGAGGAAGGGGAAGTGGGTACTGGAAACTTATACAACAAATTGGTACAATCTCAAAAGCGATTATTATCAAAACACTTAGATTAGCAAATATCAAGAAAATATAATTTCTGCCTAGCAAGTGTACAACTAACCCAACTGTCCCTACACCTTTGATTTTCTACCTAGACCTGTCTGGAAGAATTACCTTGTGCCATTAATCGAGGTGATTTTCTTGGTGATCTCACTGAGTTTTCTTCTACTTTATCCCTCAAATTCCTGTTAGGTAAAATCAGTTCTTCTTCATCAATGGTATCATTGCCACTTTCTTTAACAACTCCTTCATCCATAATATCGTCAAGACCAACAACTAGAAAAAACAAAAACAGTAACAAAAAAATTAATTTTAAAAAATATTGGGGGTGTTAAATATTTAAAGACAGTACAGAAAATATTGTGAGACAGTTTTAATGCAATACTACATGGTCTTGAAAATTTACATACATTCCTAGCATGTGAAATTGCCCATCATTAAGCTCTCAAATGTATTCCTTATAAACTTCTACCTTGTAAGGTAATTAGTCAAAACAGAATGTTAGCTATATTCTTCCCTCATTTGACCTCAACTATCATTTTCACTTATTTATTGTGTGCTATCTCCTTGTAAGTAGCATAGGTGACTATACCTGGAGTACTACTCAATTATCCCAATTTTGACTAACGTAGTCAATTTTGAAACACTTGAGCCTAGGCCCATACTAGAACGAAAATTCTAGTTCTAACTGGGATGCTACTACATAGAGACTTCATGCTACCTGTGTGAGAGCAAGCAATGTAGATGTAATTTTGACTGGTACCACCAAAAAAAAGGAAAAGAAAAACAGAGAGAAAGAAAGAGAATGAAAAACATAACTTCCCCCACTTCCCAGATGCTGAAGAAAAATGGTAAGTATTTAATACAGCTATACAATTGCATTACTTTCTCCTATTCAAAAGATAGAGCCATTTATTTAATTTGGAAGGAGGAGTGAAGAAGCACTCAGGAATATTCAAAGAAATATTCGCCATATTCATATTATCATTAGGTTTATTTCTGTACAGAATAAATGCCACTTAACTAGTTAATATGTATTAGTAATTCTAAATGTGCAGCTGTATGAAATCTTAAGACTGTGACTATTTAGATCAGAAAGTCTGGATTCAAATCATTGCTAGAACACTTAAATAAAATTTGATCAAATCACTTAACCTCTCTATCAGTTTCTTTATCTCTAAAAGGACATAACAGTACCTGTCCTACCTACCTCACAGGGATGTTGTGAGGATCAAGTGAGATGATGTATGAGAACTCACTCTGTAAACTTTAGAGCACTATACAAATGTTAGTTATTATCTTCATCCTAGGGCTTAGAAGGAACCTCAAGAAGTTATCTAGTCCTCATCTTTGTATCCAAGTAGAACTTCATTTAAAAGAGCTCAACAAGATAGTGGTCTATCCTAAAATTTAAAGAAAACAAAATCTTCATAAATATACTTTCAAATGACACAATCTTTTCGAAGAGCAATTTGACAACAAATAGAACTATGAAACTGCTCATAAACTTTGACCAAGATACATTAATAAAGTATAGGAGAAAAATGGATTGTGAAGAAAATGCTGGCCAGAAAACAGTGTGATCATCGTTAGAAACAAATAAATAAAATGCCATGTGTATGCACATTTAGACAGACAGGAAAAAAAGCTTGGCAGGAAACAGATGCAAGTTTTAGCAGTAATCATAGGTAGGAATTCTTACTTATAAAGATAAGAATGTATCTCTTCCTATTTTCCAAATTTCCTGCTGTAAACATGTATTATTAGTCTCAAAAATAGAGCCTTTTATTGTTGTTGTTTTGTTTTTAAAAGACAGGGCCTCACTCTGACACCTAGGCTGGAGGGCAGTGGCACGAACCCAGTTCACTACAGCCTCAACCTTCTGGGCTCAGGTGATCTGTTGTCCTCCTCCTCCCAAGTGGCTGGGACTACAGGTGCATGGCACCACACACAGCTTATTTTTGTATTTTTTGTAGAGACCAAGTCTCACTATGTTGCCCAGGTTGGTCTCAAACGCTTGGGTTCAAGCAATCCTATCACCTCAGTCTCCCAAAGTGCTGGGATTACAGGCATGAGCCATCACGCCCCGCCTAGACCATGCTTAACCACTGTGCTATGCACAAAAAGTTAAGAGGACAATATGCTTTCGGAAGATTATCAAGGCGTTTTTTTGCTGGGTTTTTGGTTTTTTTTTTTGAGTCGGGGTCTCGCTGTCACCCAGGCTGGAGTGCAGTGGCAAGACCCTAGCTCACCACAGTCTCCACCTCCTAGGCTCATGCCATCCTTCCACCTCAGCCTCCCAAGTAGCTGGGACTACAGGCGCCTGCCGCCACTCTTGGCTAATTTTTTGAATTTTGTAGAGAAAAGGTCTTTCTACATTGCCCAGGCTAGTCTAGAACTCCTGGGCTCAGCAATCCTTCCGCCTAGGCCTCCCAAAATGCTGGGCTTGCAGGCCTGAGCCACCTCACCCAGCCTAATCAGTATTAATTTAAGATACAATTAGGGAAGACAGGTAGAAAGTCTAGTTAGGTTACTCCACCATAATGGAATACTATGTTGTCACACAGTCTCAAAAATTTTTTTGACATTTGATTAGTAAGCCTACTGTGTTTATTTAAAATGCAAATTTTAAGACTACTTTTCACCAATTCTATATAAAAGCATATATAATATATGCATTACAAAGATGCATAGATAAGTGTAAATAGGAAAACATAGGACTGTTATCAGTAGTTAGTGATTAGGTAAGGAATTCTGTTGTTGCTGCTGTTGTTTTTCAACCTCCCTTATACTTTCCCTAAGTTTTCCAAATTTTCTACAATGAGCATGTGTTTTATATTGCAATAAGGAACGAGAAGAACCATCCAAAGTAAGAAAACAGCCAGGAGAAAAGTCTGAATAATAGTATGTGTTGGCAAGAAGTGGAAAGGTATGTTATGAATTCTAGAGATACTTTACAAAGCAGAATCAACAGGATTTAGCAAGAAAAATCCTTTGTCAATTCTCAGGTTTTAAATTATCCCATTTTCTAGCAGCATCTAACATAGCTGATCCGGTTGTCCACTTGATTCCCTTTTCTCACTTAGCTTCTGGGGTGTCAAATTCCCCCCCATTCTCACCAGCAATTCTTCTCCACATCCTTGGACAAAGTTTCCTCTTCTTGCAGACGTGTACACAATGGAGACCGAAAGGCTCATCCTCCCATCTCCTTTCTTTACCTACATTCACCCATCCCTAAGTGATGTCATCCGGTCCCATCTATACTCTAATGACTCCCACAGGAATTTTCTCTAGCCCCAAAGCTCACATTTGACCTTCAGAAGAGTGCAATATGACATCTCCATTAGGTCTAATAAGTACCTTAAAGTTAACATACTGAAAATAAACAATAATTCTAGGCATTCTCTGTCCATCACCCTCCAAAGACATTGCTCCTCCCAGGGTATTCCTAGTACATGGAACCTCCTCCATTCAGCCAGTTGTTCAATCATCTAGCTTACCACCCCACAGTCTACAGATTCAAACAAGTACATTCTGCTAGCTCTGTCTTCAAAACGTATCACACGTCTGACCATTTACCAAACATTCAGCTCTAAATCACCACCAGCTCTCAAGACTACATTATACTCATCTCCTAGTGCCCTAGGTTCCTCTAGTGCCATTCCCTCTCCCCAAACAATTTATTCTCCACACAGTTATCACAGTGATCCTTCCAAAATACTAAGTTGGATCACATCACTTTCTTCTGTTCAAAACCCTCCAAAACCTCCACAATACATTTAAAGTCCAAGATCCTAGCCAAGGCCCACAGGGTCCTAACATCTTCCCTGCCAACTTCTCTGACTCACCTCCCCTGGCTGACTCCCCCTCTCCAGCTACACTGGCTTTGTCCTGAACACAGGGAACACCAGCCCACCTCAGGGTCCCTGCTCGTTCACTCTCCTGCATGGAGGTTCTTCTACCAGAAACCAGAGTTCACTCTGGCTTCACTCAGGTTTTAAGTAAATATCACCTCTCAGAGAAACCTTCCCTAACCACCTCCCACAGAACAGCATACGCTACTACTGCCTCCTGAGACTCCGCATACTTTATCCTTTAAAGCATGGTTTACTGTATAACATTAAATATCTGCTGATTGGCTGTCTTCTCCACTAGAGTGTAAGCTCTGCAAGTCAGAGACTTGGTCTCTCATTCATGGCTGATTCTCCCAAAGCCTAGAACAACTTGGCAGAGGTAAACATTTGCTGAATAAAAGAATTAGGGGAAAAGACAGGATGGGAAAATGTAAACCTTGATGAAAGACAGAAAGTTTCCTATTAACTAAAAGAAAGAAGTTGAAAATAACAAATCTGGAAGATAACTGACTCCACTTTTTGGATATGATGACATGAAGACAAAAGAGCAGACAGAAGCATCAAGGTAACACCATCAGCAAAGAAGGGAAAGAATTTCAAGGTAGTAGGGATCAGGAAGGTTAACTGCTTCAGAAAAAGCAAATAAAGGAGAAAAATCCACCAGTTTGACACACAGAAGCAGAGGGTCAGATGACAAAGGGTAAAAAATTAGGTAAGTGAAGAATGACAATAACTGCAGTCTCTTTTTCATTTCTAAGAGGTTGAATAGTTTAAAAGGGGGGTGAAGACAACAATCAGTTGAAGGTTAAAGAGACATAGATGCTTTTTCTCTGTATGCGAGAGATGGGGAAGGCAGAGGGAAAGGAGGCCAGGCAGTGACAAATAACCTTTATAAAGCGGGAAATGAATGAGGGAAGAGAAAGAGGAAGAGAGTGAGGCAAAAAAGGGATGTAGATAGATGGAAGGGGACAAAGGAGAGGAGTGGTAAGTCAACAGAGATCTAAGACGTTTGTATGTGCTGGAAAATAATTTGGCAGTCAAGTGATGCCTTGAATTTCTACATCACTCGAAAACCTCTCGGTCAACAGACTACAACTAGGATAACGAAGAGTACATTTGAGATGCCTCCCAAAGAGATGCCACTTTTTTTGCACTCCTACTCCTCCTGGCAACACAATTCCTTCACCTCAGAAAGTACATCTCTACATTAAATCAAGCTCTATACTGCCTCCAAGTTTTCAGGGCTCTCACACTGAACGAGGCCCCAAACAACAGAAGTACCTTCTGGACACTTTTTCCTGAGTTTCCCACATTCCAGAACTAGGTGTGTCATTCTCATTTTGAATTTTTTTTCTTCAAGTCTGAAATTTAATGCCATTTTATAATAGAGAAAATAAGACCTAGAATTAGTTTGGTTGAGTTTAATATAAATGAACTCTGTATTTGATATGTGTTAATTATGCTGGCAGTTCAAAGGTCATACTCAGCCCAACTACTTCTATGTCGGTTATTTTCTCTATTATGAAGTTGGCATTACGTATCAAACTTGAGGAAAAAATAAAGAGCATATCTTGCTGTACCACAATAAAGGTTAGGTATCTACTTTATAGGGCTTCTGTTTCTGAAGTAGAATAAGAACATATACAGATAACTCCTCTAACAAAGGCCCCACAGTCTTCTCCTCTAATACTGCAGAAGACTACCAGACAACCCTCCTCCTTGGTCTCTCTTTGGTCAGAGGTCTTTCCTTCACAGATGATTTACATATGGACTCCAAAAGAGTACATATGCACTCTGAAAATAAAGAGCATAATATACTCCTGTATATTATGCACAATACAATTAACCATGTGGAGATGAATTTACTGTTTTAGATACTATCATGTTTCTAGTTTGAAAAATATGCTGCTATATATACATGCCTTTTTTGCCCTTTTTCATTCCTTCTTTTCAATACATTTTAAAACACAGATGTACAGAGTCAAAAAGGTGAAAAGATAGATAAGTAGATATCATCAAATGGCTTTCCAAAAGATTATAAAATATTTACAAAGCATATAGCTTCACATTAAATCTCAGTAAGAACTCACTGGCACTGAGTTTCTTATATTTAAAAGATACATGGTTACTTAAAAAGCTTGAATCCTTCAGATTAGTATACTGCCTTTCTGATGTCTTTGGCTTAGCCAGTTATGAAGTCAAATTTAAAATGTCCCTGTTGTCAGGCATGGTGGTTCACACCTGTAATCCCAGCACTCTGGAAGGTAGAAGTGAGAGGATTGCCTGATTTCAAGGGTTTGAGACCAGCCTGGGCAACTTGGTGAGACCTTGTCTCTACAATAAATAAATTTTTAAAAACTAGCCAGGTGTTGCCGGGTTCGGTGCCTCAGCCTGTAATCCCGCACCTTTGGGAGGCTGAGGTGAGTGGATTGCCTGAGCCCGCGGGTTCGAGACCCGCCTGGGCAGCGAGACCTCATCTCTATAATAAATCAAAAAAATTGACCGGGCGTGGCAGCACGTGCCTGTAGTTCCAGCTACCTGGAAGGCTG